TTTTTTTTCCATCTTAAAGAAGTCCCTCTAACATTCCTTATAATACTGGTTTAATGAACTCCTTTAGCTTTTTCTTGTCTGCGAAGCTCTTTATCTCTCCTTCAATTCTAAATGATAGCCTTGCTGGGTAGAGTAGTCTTGGTTGTCAGTTCTTGCTTTTCATCACGTTGAATATTTTGTGCCAGTCCCTTCTGGCCTACAAAGTTTCTGTTGAGAAATCAGCTGACAGTCTCATGGGAGCTTCATTATAAGTTACTAGTTGCCTTTCTCTTGCTGCTTTTAGGACTCTCTTTTTGTCTTTAACCTTTGCCATTTTAATTATGATTTGTCTTGGTGTGAGCCTGTTTGGGTTCATGTCTTTGCACTTCTGGATTTGGATGTCTGTTTCCTTCACCAGGTTAGGAAAGTTTTCAGTCATTATTTCTTCAAATATGTTCTCAAACCCTTTGCGTTCTCTCTTCACCTTCTGGTACACCTATGATGTGAATATTGTTATGCTTGATGTTGTCCCAGAGGTTTCTTAAACTATCCTAATTTTTTTGGTTCCTTTGTTTTTGCTGTTCTGATTGGGTGTTTTCTGCTACTTTGTCTTCCAAATCACTGATTCGATCCTCTGCTTCATCTAGCCTGCTGGTGATTCCTTCTAGTGCGTTCTTCATTTCGGTTATTGTATTCTTCACTTTTGCCTGGTTCTTTTTATGGTTCCTATGTCCTTTTTTATGCTTGCTATCTCTCTGTTGAAGTTCTCACTAAGTTTCTTGAGCATCCTTAAAACCATTGCTTTGAACTCTGGTAGGTTGCTTGCCTCCATTTTGTTTAGTTCTTTGTCTGGAGTTTTCTCCTGTTTTTTCATTTGGGGTGTATTTCTTTGTTTTCTCATTTTGGCTGCCTCTCTGTGTTTGTTTCTATATATTAGGTAGAACTGCTCTGTCTCTCAGTCTTGGCTGGGTGGCCTTTTGTAGGAGGTGCCCTCTGGGACCCTGACAAAGTCTCACTGGTCACCTGAGCTGGGTACTCCAGGAGTGTCATTTTTGTGGGTTGTATGTGCCCTCATGTTATAGTTGAGCCTTGATTGCTATTGGCACATCAGTGGTTGGGATTGATACTCAGGCTGATTGGCTGTGGAGTTTGGCCACATCCACAGATTATGGGCTGCTGTGTGGGGTGTTTACCCCACTGAGTGGGATTCACCCCAGCAGGCTCTGGTGTCTGTTGAGATCCCCTTTTGTGTGTATCGCTTATGGGGCTAATTGGGTGGCGTTCTGCTGTGGTCTGAAGCCAACCTCCAAGTATGTTGGTTCTGGGGCCTCTTAGGAAGGGCTCTGGTGCATGCCCAGGTCACCCATAGCCTGTGACTGGCCAGGGGCTACCTGGTAGGAGCTACAAAATGATCTGCAGTTGATCGCTGCCTATGCTAAACCTCAAAGCATGTGGGAGAGACTACACTGTGAACTGAGGATGGGTGCCACCTGCTAGCTCCCTTAAGGTTTAGGCTGATAGAGCCTTGTGTGGTATACAAGTTGGGTGAGGCAGGATTCAGGGAGTCACTAGAGTAGGAAGAGTTATGGTCACCATTGTTAATGTACATTCTGGTTTGGTGTCAATGCTGAGCCTGGAGCAACTCAGCAAAAGTCTCAGAGCACACCGAGGCCAGTTGTCACTTGCCTGGGGCCTGTGGACCTCAATAGTTTTCAAGAAAGAGTGCAGTGTGGGTGGGGCTGGCTGCTCGAGGACAAAGGGCCTCTGGAGTTGGGGGAATTGGGTTGGGCTGGGTTCCAGCGGAACTCAACAGACCAGATTCAGATTTGGGCCTCTGGGGGCAAGCTCAACACAGGAAAGATGGTGCCTGCCTGCACGGGAAGAGTACCATCACAGGGAAAAAGTCAACTGTTCTCCAGCCCTCGGTCTGCAGCCACACACCTCAGTCTGCCCCCTGTATACCTCTGATACCCTCCGAGTCACCGTCCCTCCACCGGAGCCAAAGGTGAGTGCCTGGGAGTGAGAAAGTCTGTGTGCAAGCCGTTTAAGAGGACGACTGGGTTTCCTGCAGCCTTTTGTCTCACTGGGATGGTCAGAATACCCTTTTTTTTTTTCACAGCCAGATGTTGTGGGGGCTCCTTTTTCTGGCACCAGTACTCTGGGCTGGGGAACTGCACTCCTCCAGGGGTAGCCCCTGTAGCCGAATATCACTCCTGATTGTCTACCACCAAATGGAGTTGTGGGGCCTGTTCCACATATCTGCGCCTCCCACCAGTCTCGATGTGGCTTCTTCTTCATATTTTTAGTTATAGGCCTCTGTTTAGCTAGACTTTAGATGGTTCTCCAGGTTGATTGATCTATAATTTAGTTGTAAGTTTAATGTGTTCACGGAAGGACCAGGGCACAGTGTTAGCCGCCTTGGATTGTATTGTCTGCTGTTTTTATAGTTCACTGAATAGTCCTCCCTTTAGCCCTTTGTGCCTGAGCATCTGTGCCCCTTCCTTTCTGTATGAGGGCAGCACATTTGTGTAGTGTCTTCATGTGTAAAGCCCCTCCTGCTACAGTGAGTGGGGGGAGGCCAAGCATAACCACTCAGCTAGATGCCAGGACCCCACACTTAGAGAACTTTTTACAAAATAGACTTGTCAGTGCAGAAGGGCCACACTGAGTAAAAACAGGCCCTGCAGGCAGCCACGTTCAGCATCCAGGTAGGGGTTGGCTTTTGAGAGAACCATTTCTAAAAGGCACTGCACTTTTAAATGTGAAAATGCTTCCTGTCTCCCAATAGGATGGCTATAACAAAAAAGACAAGTGTTGGTGAGGACATGGAGAAATTAGAACCCTCACACATTGCTGGTGGTAATGTAAAATGATGCAACCGCTTTGAAAACAGTTTAGTAGTTCCTCAAAATGTTAAATATGGAGCTACCATTTGACCCAGCAATTCCACTCATTGGTATATACTACAGAGAAAAGAAAACACACATCTATGCAAAAACTTGTAAATGATTATTCACAGTAGGCAAAAAAAAAGTAAAAACAACCCAAATGTCTATTAGGTGATTAATTGATAAATAAAATGTGGTAGAGCCACAGAGTGGAATATTATTCAGCCATAAAAAGAATGAAATACTGATCCATGCTACAACGTGCATGAACATTAAAAACATGAAGCCTGTTATAAAAGGCCACATACTGAATGATTCCATTTATATGAAATATCCAGAACAGGCAAATGTATAGAGATTGAAAGTAGGTTAGTATTGGGGATTTACCACTCAAGATGGCAGAGTAAGTAAAAGGTATGCTCACCTCCTGCCACATCAAAATTACAACTAAGTTATAGAACAACCATCACTGAGAACCACCTGAAGTCTAGCTGATCAGTAGTCCTATAACTAAGGATGTGAAGAAGAAGCCATGTGGAGACTGGTAGGAGGGACGGAGATGCAGAACAGGCAGGTCCCACAACCACGGTGTACTGGTTAAGAATTTGGAGGGATATTTCAGCTATGAAGGTCTCCCCAGAGGAGTGAGGGGTCCCCATAACATCTGGCTGTGAAAACCATGGGGGATGGCATCCAAGTGAGATGGAGGGCTGCTGGAGTCCCAGGTGTTCCTCTTGTCTTGAGGAGCCTACCCACAAACTTGCTTGCACACAAACTCACTTGCTCTGAGATCCATTGCAGGGCAGCATCTTGAAAAGTGCCAGGGACATACAGGGAGGAACTGAACTGACTAGCATCATGGAGAGGGCTAGAGGGACAGGAGTCAGGGCAGCTCTCTCCGGGAATAGAAGCGCTGGCAGGCGCATTACTCCTTTGATAAGCCTTCACTGCACACAGCTATCAGGTGCAGGTGGGCACCTATCTGAGTTGAGTCTCCATTAACCTGGCTAATACTGTTTGCCAACCCTCATGATTCCCTGAGATCCTGTCCCACCCAACTTGGAGGCTCAGCCCAGATGGTTCCAGTGGTTCTTCTACACAAGCTGCCTGCATCATCTCGCACTGCAGACTTTACCAAAATCTCTCAAAGGTCCACAAACCCCAAACAAGCATTGGCTGGTCTCAGAGCATGCTGCATCTCTTGCTAAGTGGCCTCCAGCCTGGCATAAATTGTAGCCAGTGTTGGCATAGAACATAGCTTCCACTAAGTGGCCACAAGCCTGGCACAAGTGGCAGCTGGCCTCAGTTCACAGCATAGCTTCTCCCAAGCGCCTCCAAGCCCAGCACATGTGGCAAGCGATCTCAGATCACTTTGTAGCTCCCACCATATGGCCCCAAACTGGACAAGAATGGTGGCTGAACTTGGCCTGCACTGGAGCCCCTCTTAAGAGGTTCTAGAACCAATATACCTGGTGTCTGGCTAAGACCACATCAGAGTACCACCCAACAATCTCTACAAATGACACATCTGAAGGGTGGATGCAGCTGGCTCCAGGGCCTGACAAAGTGACTTCTCCATGGGGTCAGCTCCATCATAACAGCTTGTCTGCTACAGTTAGACACCCAGTCAGCCTGAGGATCAGTCTCACCCACTAACATGCCAACTGCAATCAAGACTCAACTACAAAAGGCAGGCACAAACAACCCACACAAGGGACATACCTGGAGCACCTGGCTCAGGTGAACAGGGAGACTGGGCCCCACAGAACACCTACTAAAAACTACTCTGCCAAGACTGGAAAACATAGCAGATCTAATACACAGAAACAAACACAGGGAGTTGGCCAAAATAAGGAGACAAACATGTCTCAAATGAAAGAACAGGAGAAAACTCCAGAAAAAGAACTAAACAAAATGGAGACAAGCAATATATCAGATACAGAGCTCAAAACACTGGTTTTAAGGATGCTCAGTGAACTTAGGGGAATAATAGATGAACTTAGAACCCATAAAAAAAGAACTAGCCAGAAATGTAGACTACAATAACTGAAATGAATACATTAAAGGGGATCAATAGCAGATTAGATGAAGCAGAGTATCACATCAGTAATCTGGAAGACAAGGTAGCAGAAAACACCCAGTTAGAGCAGAAAGAAAAAAAGAATTGGGGAAAAAAAAGACTGCTTAAGGGACTTCTGGGACAACATTAACTGTAACAACATTCACATTATAGGAGTACCAGAGAGAACAAGGGATTGAAACCTATTAGAAGAAATAATGACTGAAAACTTCCCTAACCTGGTGAAGGAAATAGCTATATAAGACCAGGAAGCACAGAGAGCCCCAAACAAGACTGAACCCCATACCAACACACATCATAATTAAAATGCCAAAGGTTAAAGACAAAGAGAATCTCAAAAGCAGCAAGAGAAAAGCAGTTAGTTACCTACAAGGGAGCCCCCATAAGACTGTCAGCTGATTTCTCAACAGGAACTTTGCAGGCCAGAAGGGATTGGCATAAAATATTCAAAGTGCTGAAAAACAAGGACCTACAACTAAGACTACTCTACCCAGCAAAGCTATCATTTAGAATTGAAGGAGAGATAAAGAGTTTCCCAGGCAGGAAAAAGTTAACGGAATTGATTCATTACCACTAAAACAGTATTACAAGAAATGTTAAAGGGACTTCTTTAAGAAGATTTAAAAAAAATGAATAAGAAAATATAGCAAAGAGAAAAACTCTTACTAACAAAGGCAAACACATAATACAAGTGGTGGATCAACCAACTATAAAGCTAGTACAAAGGTTAAAAGGCAAAAGCAGGGAGATCATGTGTAATTACAATAAATTAAGGGAAACACACAAGAAGCAAAAAGTGACAAAAACACATGTGGCAAGAAAGTGAAAATGGTAGTGATTTTAGAATGTGTTAGAACTTAAGTGACCATCAAATTAAAATAGACTGTTATAAACATAGCTTGGTATATATAAAGCATAGCTCAATGGAACAGAATAGAGAGCCCAGAAATAAACCCATGCCTATATAGTCAATTAATCTATGACAAGGGAGGCAAGAATATACATTTTGGTAAAGACAGTCTCTTCAATAAATGGTGTTGGGAACACTGGACAGATACATGCAAAAGAAACGACTATTTTCTTATATCACATATAAGAATAAACTCAAAATGGATTAAAGATTTAAATGGAAGACCCAAAACCATAAAACTCCTAGAAGAAAACATAGGCAGTAAACTTTGACATTGCTGTTAGTAATATTTTTTTGGACATTGCTGTTAGTAATATTTTTTTGGATATGTCTCCTCAGGAAAGGAAACTAAAAGAAAAAATAAACAAATGGGACTACATCAAACTAGAAAGTTTTTACACATTGAAGGAAACCATCAACAAAATGCAAAGATATCCTACTGAAGGGAAGAAGATATGTGCAAATAATACATCCAGTAAGGCGTTAACATCTAAAATATATAAGGAAGTCATACAACGTAACATCAAAAACACCCCCATTCCAATTAAAAAATGGGCAGAGGAGCTAAAAAGACATTTCTCCAAAGAGGACATACAGATGGCCAATAGATATACAAAGGGAAATACAAATTCAAACCACAATGAGATATCACCTCATATCTGTCAGAATGGTTATTATCAATAAATAAAAAAACAGCAAGTGTTAGCATTACCTTTTGAGCACTGTTGGTGGGATTGTAAATTGCAGCCACTATAGAAAACAGTATGTAGGTTCCTCAAATGAGAACTAGCATATGACCCAGCAATTCCACTCCTATTTATCCAAAGAAATCCAAAACACTAATTTGAAAACATATATGCACCCTCTATGTTCATTGTAGCGTTATTTACAATAGCCAAGATATGGAGCCAATCTAAGTGTCCATCGATACATGAACAGATAAAGAAGAGGTGGTACATGTATACAACGGAATGTTACTCGGCCATAACAGAATGAAATCATGCCATCTGTGACAACCTAGATGAACCTAGAACATATTATGCTAAGTGAAATAAGACAGAAAAAGAAATACCATGATTACACTTATATGTGGAATCTAAAAAATGAAATGAACAAACAAAAGAGGAAAAACATTAAATTTTACACTTTAAACAATTAGGTGAATTGTAAAAGCAGTTTTCCAAATGTCCCCTTTTACAAATTATTAATGAATTGGGAAAAAAAGATTAGTGGTTGTAGGGAAAGGTGGGGAGGTAAGAATGGGAAGTGAATGCTAGTGGGTTTCTTTTTGGAGTGAGGAAAATGTTCTGGCATTAGGAGGTGGTGATGGCTGTACAAACTACGCATATACGAAAAAGCATGAATCATGTACTTTAAGAGGCTGAATTTTATGCTATGTGAATTTTTTTTAAAACAATTACCTCTCCTGTCTGCTCCTCTAAGAGCTCAAGTCCCAGGGCTCTGGAGGGTCTGTTGGAGTGACCTGTCTGTTTCCTCTCTGCAGACTCCTCATCGACATGGTGCCCAGGGTGAGGCAGACGCGCCACTATGAGATGTTTGAGTGAAGGTGGCCAGAGCCACCCGTTCTGCATCCGCATGAAGACCGTCGGGACGACGAGAGGTTTCCACAGACGGTGCCAATATTTAACTGAACATCCAATTTCTTTTTTGGAAAGTTTGTGTTCATGGGAATGAGGTCTGCCCAGCAGGTTGGTCTGCACTGCTCCCCTCACACCACAGTTCCCGTCAAACCCGTTAGGACCACGTCCACAGGAGGAGAGACTGGCGTCCCCATCTCCGGTGGGAACTGACCTTTTCTATTTTCTGGAGTAAAAAGGTTCTTGTGGGTAGGATAAGATCTCTGCTTGGCAGAAAGTTCTTCTGTGGTGCTCCAAGCCTGAAATGGATAGCAACTGACCAGACCCACCTCCTCTGGACTCCGAGTGGCCCCGGCCACCTCGTAAGTCTAGAGTCTCTTACCTCCTGGCAGAATTTACGGGAAGACGGTACGTACTCTTTGGTCCTTCACCCCTCTACATACCCAGAACCATCAGTATATATATCACTTCCTAATTTCTATCAATGTATTTCATTAATTTCATACTGTTTTACTAATCCTCATCTCAACAGATTTATTCAAAAGGAGACCATTCTATTTTTAAAGTACTTAGTGATAAATGTATGAGCTTTGCATGGATGAACTAAAGCACACAACCCTTTCTTGTACATTCAGAACCTGAACATGTAAAGACAGGATCCATTTTTGACAGATGTGAAACTAGTTTATTTGTAATAAATAATTATATAATCCATATATGCATATATCTATATGCTGTGTTAAGTGGTAATGATACATTACAGTCTGTTAGAAATGGCTGACTCCTCTGTAAGGAACAGGATGTCTTTAGTTTATGTCGCGTTAGGTATAGATTCTGTAAACATGTTCCCTGACATACAACAGTCTGTACCTCTAGCACTGCTGCTTGTCCAGGCGACAGTGTCTGACCAATAAAGACCTTTACCTGTTTTGTATGGTATGGGGAAGTTATCTTTGAGAGTTGTCGCCGTCGTGGGCGTTTTCCATTGTGACTGAAGGATGACATGGAAGGGCCACTTACTCTGAGTGGCGTGTGAAAGGAGACACTGAAGGATTGTCATGATGGGCTGTGTGGCCTCCACCTGCCACTCAGGGGAGGAGAGTGGCCACACATTCACTCTATCATGCCCGAGACCCTTGGAGCTGAGTTGGCCCAGAATTGAAGGACGGCTGTTCCCCAGGTCTTACCCCACCTTCTGTGCCCCATCTCCCACCTGGCTGTGTCAGGCTGGTTAAGAGAAGGTGGTGTGGTCTAAGAGGTCACTGGCCTTGGTTCAGTCTGATGCTTTCAGCATGGCTTCCTCCAACAGCATCTTGTGGAGTGTCCTGTGGGATGTTAACATGGTACACGGAAAAAAGGGTTGACTGTTGGAACAGGTCTGGGAAATGCAAAATTCAATAGGTTTCTTTTCTGCAGGTTTTCTCATTGGATTTAATATCTAGTGTGGAAACTCAGAGAGGGGAAGCTAGGATGTAGCCTCCCTTAAGTACTGAAGTTTTTCTTGGCACCTTTTTTGGGATTTGCATCTTACCAAACATGCTATACCTGGGGACTGCATGGTGTCTCCATCCTGGGCAGCAGCTAGGAGCTCCGCTGGCTTCAAAGGCTGTGCTGATGACCACCGAGCCATGCCCTCTAGCATCACCAACAGGCAGGCCCTCGGTGTGGGCATGGACTTGACCTTGCACGTTTCTAGGGCATATGCCGAAATAAGTGCTCATGGGCTGCTGAACCCTGGGTAAAAAAGTTCTCTTTGTGAAAGGGGTGTGGGGGGGGGAGCAGGGAGGAGGAGGGGAGGCCTGTATTCCAGGTCTAACAGGCCCTCAACATTTTTAGGAGTATTTTACTAGCACATCCTTAAAGATTTTTAAACATCTGATATAGTACAGTTATCTCAAAAAGAAAAAGAAAAAAAATATAGCCCCCATTTTAATTCAATTCCCTTCTAGGTGAATGCTCTGAGTGTTGGTAGATGTGATATAAGGGAAAGAATACTCCACAGTAAACTCATGCTTCCTCTCGGCATCTTCAGCAGTGTTTGCCAGCATGGGGGGACAGGGGGGTGGGAGGACGATGCAGCTAGGCTGTGTTCTGCCGGTGACCCTACCACCCACCCAGCCCCCCAAAAATCACTTCCACCTGTCACACAAGAAAAGTTTATTGAAAAATAAAGTTCTCCCTAGTTTGCTCTACAACAGTGGAAAACAAAGCAGTGCTCTCTACGCCGGTACAGTACGTTTGGACAGCGACACCTCATTTGCAGAACCCCGCACTACTTAACCTCAGAGTGAACAGCAGAAAATGGTTGTACCAGGAGGGTTTTTGAAGACACAGATGTGAACGGCCATTAGCTTAAAGACATCAAGGTTGTGACAGCAACTACAGTAGACATCACCATCTCCTTTGGCATCAAGTGTTCCACTACTGTCCTGTTACTACCTGGCCAGGACAGTGAAGCAAAGATGCTCCCCAAGTTTGCCCCTCTCCCCTTTGTCAGAGGTGGCGAAGTTCCCATCCCACTGGCCCAGCCAGGCTGTCAGACCTCCAGCATGGCAAATGTCGCCATGTGCCACCACCACCACCTGTCCACCGTATGAGCACATGCTGGCCTCTGGTCCCTCGGCCATGCCTCACCAGCTGGGGGGTAGGGAAGATAATCTTAAGGCTCCACAAAATCGGGGATAGAAGGAATGATGCTCTGAAGAAGGTAAATTCCAATCCTATTCCCACAGTTTAAGACTGCTGATTCAGCTGAAGAGAAAACTTAAAGACACGGGACTCCAGCAAATTCCTCCATATTCCACCACTGCAGTCTATCCAGAGTGGGGCCAAGACAGGAGAAGAGGTACAACTCTAACTCTGTCAGGGAAGTAAGAGGCTAACCCCCCACTAAAACGGAAAGCAACCTGATATTTAAGCGATTTGAGAAAACTGAACCATGAGCAGCCTCTGGCAACTGGTTCTGAAGACACTCTCCCCACCACCAATGCGTCCACCTGAGTAGTGGAATAGGTCTGGGCTTTCCACTGGCCTAGGGGAGAGGTGGGTCTTCTCTGGGACTGGGACCAATACTAACACGCGAGAGCGAACCAGTCCGGGAGTCTGATCCTTGTGGACTGGACTGTGGAGGAGCCACCCTGGCCAGCAGGGGGCAGCAAAGGGACTTCCTAGGGAATGACTTCAGTTGGTCATTCCTTTCCCCTTAAGTAAAATAACAAAGAGAAGCCTCTCTTATTGCATTTCAGAGGACTATAGTTAACTCTGATTTAAGGGGTACAGTCTGTCAGAGAACTCATTTTAATTTCTAGCTCAAGAAGTTCCAGAAACAAAAACCTGGAATGGTCCAGGAGACATCAGTGGGGTTAGGTCCAGCCTGGGGCCAAAGGTCACCCATGTCATCCCCCCCTTTACAGTTCTTGCAGCCGAGTTTCATCTGGGGCTGACATCAGGCATATTTTCAAATCAGTCAGTGTATTCAGGGATATAGTAATGTTTCAACTAGCAGGGTAGGCATGGGACTTGGGACATGCTAAGATAAATCCGTAATTCCTACAACATTCCATCAACCTGGAATAATATTTTCAGGTAGGTATCTTGAATCGACATATAAAGAGTGAGCTCAGCTCTTCTTAATTTTCATGAACTGCTTATAACAATATTTAACATTTACTAGGGCTTACTATATGCCAGACACTGCTAAACACTGAATCTTCACAAAACCCTAAGTGCTAAGAAAGCTAGGATAATTTTTTTTCTGCATCTGAGATTATACAACTAATTTGAACTTTCGCTATAAAAACTTAGTTTTTCTACGCTTTTTTTTGGGAAGCCAACAAGAAGGTAGGCAATTCCTACCTTCCTATATTAGTCTGAATCTATTTATGTCCATTCATATCTTCGTATGAAGGTTCTCTGCAGCTCTATAGGGATGGAGGGGATTAGACGGGAACCAATGTGAAAACTAAAGTATTTTTAAATAAATAAAACAATCCAGGCTTAGGATAGTGACACATACAACAGAGCCTGTCGTTAACAAAATAGACTTTTTTTAAAAAAATCAAGAATTTGGGGGGCATGGGAGAGGGTGGTAATGTCCCAATTATATACACAATCCAGGTAAACCACCTTAGGAAAATGGGGTGGCCTGCCTTGGTCTGGTCTAAAAAAGCACAAACCCACCTATAAATAGCACATAGTTTCAGTCACATTTATGCCTTCACTACACTATGCACGGGGGCTCTCTTCCCAAAAGGGTGCATATTCTTTCCCCTTCGTGATGTTAACCAGGTAAAGTGTTTAGGGACCGGTGCCTGCTCCCCTTCAGTGCAACCCCTCAGCTAGGGCTGGTCGTCTGCTCTGGCTGCACCACCAAGTACCTGGTGGCGGAGAGCAGCGGCCTGTTGGCTCATTGCCAACCAGCAGTCCCAAGACATGACTGAGCAGCCTGGGAGGTGTGGGCTGGTCTGGAGGAAGCCAGCCCTTTCCTTGGGGTTCTCACAGCTTCATTGGGGTGTATATGTAGGTAGGTGGGGGCCTAGGCAGCTTGAAGGGTGTTTCTGGTACCCGGACTGAGAGTCCAGTGATGCAAGGACAGGTCCTATCTCTGAGTCTGCTTTCTTCCTTCAACAGCACCCAGATTCCAAAAATCAACCCCAAAGAAAAGTGAAAAGGCACATCAGAGAAACAATAAATATCATTAAAAAAAACAAAAAAACCCAAAAAACCAGACTCTCAATATTTCCAAACATACAGCAAACACAAACAAAACAAACTATAAGCAGTGACAAAAACCCAATTTAGGCAAAAATGCAAAAAACCTCTCCATTTGTACATGTGCAAATCAAATTATATACACAAAATAAATGAGGTGTTTACTGGCATTAAAAGAAGTGTGTTTCCCCTTTGAGGAATTTTTACACCTGAAAGTGTTTACATGTCAAAGGAAAGCTTTCCCTCTTTTAATAAATTAGATAAATGTTTTCCCTCAAGTTTTTAAGAACTTAAGATCACGGGGGAAAAAAGCCAAATTTTGCTTAGGGAAAAAATGTACAAAAAGTTACAGACCTGGCAAGATATGCTCATAGCACAGAAGAAACATCCTGGCTTAGGATTTCTCTGTTTGTGGAACTACCATCAATTACAAATTGGTTTAGGATTCTACTAAGAAAAACCACCAAAGGCCCACACTCTGAGATTCCCCTACCTCTCCCAGGCAGGCAGGAATCATGCCCCCTTTCCACACAGTCCATAGGGACGCCCCTCCCCAGTTTCCTCTCGCCACTGATCTGACTTGAGCCAAGCTGTGGAGGCCTGGGAGCCAGTATACACCTGGTGTCACCACCTCTTTTCACAATGCCCCCAACAACGGAAGGGTGGGTTTGCCAAGGAGCGGCAGCCCCACCAGCACAACTCCGCGTGACTTCAGCCTACACTGGCCTGGAGGCAGGAAGAGGCACCTGAAGTGGGGCAAGTGCCCTGCTGGGCCGCCTAACCTGAGGGTCCTGACTGGGAGAGGCAGGCTGGGAAGGCAGAGAGGCCCTGAGCGCGGGGGCAGCCAGCAAACAATCCTTGCTACTTCCGGAACCCAAGGCAGGCCGACGTCTTTCCACAGAACGGAGCTTTCCAGCTTCCTTGCTTTCTGAGCTCCTGTGCTTGTTTATGAAACAGCTTTTTGCAAAATAGGTTAACCTCGCTGAGCGTGGGAAATTGGACTCAGCCCGCAGGCTCCCCCTGCTGGCCAAATGCCTGCATTGACATCCTCAGCATTGAAAACTCCCAGAAGAGCTCAGCAGAGGGCAGCAGTGGCCCAGGAATTGCAGGCCTGCGAGCTCAAGCAAATTCCCACAATTTAGGGGGCAGCCAAGAGACCCATTCATGGAGAAAAGCAGCTCCTAACAGCACGGATGGCAGTTACCTCTCCTCCTACTGCAGGAAACTGCCCTCACAAAGCTCCAAAGAATACATACAGGCTATTACCAAGGTTTCCTTCGGACTTCTGCCCTTGTTGCCGGGCCCAGGCCTCCCCGTCAGCACTCTCCCTAGCACATGGCTCAGGGGCCACCTGAGGGGTGGGGGAGGAACGTCTGTCCCTTCTTACCCCCTCCATTCTCTAGGATTGAAGGTGCAATTCAGACCCACTGAGAGTCTAAGTCGAAAAAGGCTGGCTGTGCATGTGGTATTATTTATGCACCAGGAAAGAAGTGAGAAACAGGCAGAATCTAACTTCCCATACCTAAAGGCTCCATACTCCCTCTGGTCCTCGTCAAACAGAATCCTTCCTTTAGCCTCACGTCTCACAGGCCCACCCAGCCGTTAGCCTGGCCAGCTGTTCTGCCTGGTAGAGGCTGAGTCAGCTGCCCACCTCCCCACCAAGGGCATACGGTGCTGGGGAGCCAGGGCTGCTGGCAGACCAAGGCACTCAAAGCACCCCTGAGGGCTGGGGGGGAGCATGGCAGCTCATAACTGGGACACCTTGCAAGACAGAGGAGAGGGCTCACTTACCAGCATGGAGATGCCAGGGGCTTCACAGGAAACACACTTAGACCCAGAGCACTGAAGCAGTGTTAGGGGGCGGTGGGGGGGGGACCCACACAAAGGCAGAGGAGATGGGGCCGGCCTCTAGGGCTGGAAAGGGGTTGGATGGGTCTGACCAGGCCAACCTGCCAACTGGCTCACCCTCCTCAGAATATTCGTGCCTGGAACAAAAGCCAACATCAGACTCCCTTGCAAGCCACCTCCACCTCCATAGGTGAGCAGGCAGGAGAGTGCATCACATTCAACCAGGCCTGCCCAGGCTCCCTAGGCCAACATCAAGTTTACTGAGAGCCCCATTCCACGGACTTTGGCGAAATCAGACATTACAGGGAATGTAAGAAAGCCCAGGCACCTGTCTGGAGCCCAGTTCCAGTGGTGTCACCAGTTCACAGGGATTGGCTTCACTCGTGTACAATCTCAGCTCAAAGACAACCCTCAGAAGGGGTGATCATCAGGACTAAGTCCAAGCGTAGCTCTTTCAGCCCCAAATTGTGGGGTTTACCACACACTAGCAAATGTCAGTTTTCCAATCTTGCACGTCTTTCCTAAAGGGACCCTACCCAATTAGGGCCAAGGTGTGTGTGTGGGGGATGGGAGGAATGCATGGAGCAAAGGAGCCTCTCACTGCAAAGCAGCTCCGTCTTTGGTCCCTGGCTGGGCTCTCGGGATGACACAAGCATGTCCCCCCGTCCTCTAGCTGCCATCCCTGAAGCACACACACAGATTTTCTTTTGTTTTGCCACCATCCACGTTGAGGAGCTACAGCTTCCCTCAGGCATGCCACCAGCCCTCAGCTCACCCTGTCTCCCTCCTGCACCCCACCCAAAGTAGACAGGAATAATATTATAATGAAGGTGGATGGTAAACAGTGGAAAATCAAAGAAGGCATGTGATCAATCCCTCTTTGCCCTCCCCTAATCCCCCTCCCTCCGTCCCCAATAAATAAGTTAATGAATTTAGGAATGTTCCCATACAAAGTTCTTTCCACCCAGCTCAATTCCTCCTCTAGTTTTGTTTTGTTTTAAATGAATCTTGAGATTCTCTCTCCACCCTGAAGCAGCTGCATCGACAGGTTCTCCCTACAGCTGCTCTTCAAAAAATAAAATGAAGTTGTGCAGGGAGAAGCCAGGCTCCCCGCCTGGCGTCGGCTCTCATTTTGTCTTGGTGAAAACTCCACTGTGGTGCTCAGACACCTGTAGGAGTACGACCAAATTGAAACCTTTCACTACAAAGTTCAGGCTCTGGCGAGAGTCCCTGAATGACATCTGCCCCCTGGCTCTGCCAGGATGGGGCTGAAACCGCTGTCTTCCCCAGCCAAGGGCGAGTGAGGCCAACCCAGGGGCCACTAGAGACAGTCTTTACAGAGAGCCACCTGGCCTTTGTTGAAGTCCCGACAGGGGCAGATCCTCTGGTGCCTGGGGTGGGCGCCTGCACAGCTGAACAGCAGGAGGTCGCCTTGAAACACACAGTGCTTGTTCTTGGGGTCGAAGGAGGGCACCAGGATGTCCTTAGCCAGCTCTGAGCTTTGGCAGATCACCTTGTACCTGAAGAGGAAGAGAAAGGCACAAGGGTTGGAGATGCAGGGACTGTCCTCGCCACTAGCTCCTTCGGCCCACCTGCTGCGGTCTGGGGGGCACGTTCGGTTCACCCTTTGTAGAAATGAGATGGCAGCCACCCTCTGACCCAGCAATTTACCACCACTGGGGATCATGGCTCGAGAAAGGTGTGTGTGTGCCCGGGTATGTGTGAGGGGGGCATATGTATTCAAGGCTGCTTAGTGAGGCTTGTCTGTGATACAGAAAAACTGGAAATAAACTGAATACTTAGCAAGTGGGGAATGGCTGAAAAAATGATGGCAAATCTGTGCTTTTGGGGTTTTATGCAGCCCTTGTAAAAGAATGAGGTGGAAATGCAAGCGCCAGCATGCAGGGCTGTCTTGGAGAAGGCCAAGTAACTGACTGGGATATACAATGTGATCAATGTGTAGGTGAGTGTGTGTGTGTCTGTGTGTCAGATATATATATATATATATATATATATATATATATATATATATATAGAGAGAGAGAGAGAGAGAGAGAGAGAGAGAGAGAGAGAGAGGAGGGAGGGGGAGAATATGTGTCAAGTTGAGAAGGCTACACGCTAACGCCTTAACAATGGTTACTTCTAAAGGTGTAAGATTGGAGCAAAGACGTGTATTAGTTAAATATTTTTAAGAACTATGTTGAATGTTTTTATTAATAGCTTGCACAGATTCTTGCTATATGGCCTTGCTCTCCCACCACAGAGCAATCAGATGGTCTCCTAGGGGAAGGTGTGTCCCAGGGGCATGGATTCACTAGACCTACTGCAGCCAGGACTATAGGAGCCTCCTCCTCCCCCGCCCCCGCCCTTAGAGAGAAGTGCCTGAGGCTCCAGGACGTGCAGAGCAGGGGTCTGAATCCAGGCCCTGATCCCAAGCCTGTGCTCTTGCTCTTCTGCTATCTTCTCCCAACAGAGGACTAGTCTGTGGGCTGGAACCTGTGGCTTTGCTTTCTCAGGCTGGGACCACGCCTGGGGCTAAGGATAAGCAGGTACTCCTGTTTCCCACAGTGTTGGCCTCTTATCTCAAAGAACAGCTGCAGATCTTCTCCTCTGGCCTGGGGTACATTGGTTGCACCCACCTTGCTCCCCCAAAACAAGGAGGCCTCACCGGGTTCCAGCCTGGTGTCCCACATGCTAGGTGTGGACCAGTTCAGGGAAGAAGTATAGGGGGGCCAGGCAGACCTGGGTTTGAGTCCTGGCTCCCTTCATCTCTTAGGACAGCAGTTCTCAACCTGTGGGCCGCGACCCCTTACGGAGTCGAACGACCCTTTCACAGGGGTCGCCTAAGACCATCGGAAAACCAAAAGATATTTACATTACAATTCAGAACAGCAGCAAAATTACAGTTATAGAGTAGCAACAAAAATAATTTTATGGTTGGGGGTCACCACAACATGAGGAACTGTATTAAGGGGTCGTGGCATTAGGAAGGTTGAGAACTGCTGTCTTAGGAGCTATGTGATCTTGGACAAATGATTGAGCCTTTCTGTGGTTGAGTTTCCTTTTCTGTGAACTGGGAAAAACTAATCCTAAACTCAAGGGGGAGATGCTTACAGTGCCTTTGGCGGAGTCTAGCTCTGGTAAGTATTCAATAAATGGTAACTGCTATCATAATTACAGTCATCCTTGTCATCACGATCACCATGCCCTGCAGACACAGGATGGGGGCTATGCCACCTTCCTCCCTTGCTCTCTATGGTATGAATTTATACACATGCTACCTTTCTCCATTTTGCTTTGGTCCCAGAAGTCTTCATGCCTACCGGCAGGGAGGGAATCCAGATGGGGTACTCAAGGTTTCCTGCTGCCTCTGGAAAGCCTTCAAATGTTGGGGAAAAGCCTCACACCCCATTTCTTCTGCTTTCTCTTGTTTTCCTCCAGCCAACTAACTACCTGGCCCTGTGCCTTTGCCAACTTTCATCGGGTGATGCCCAGCACATCTGGCGGGGATTCTGGTGGCTCTCTGGGGCAGCCAGCCTGGCTCGCGGTGCTCAGAAGGGAAGCGCCCCTCTTATCTTGCTCCAGCAGTCACCAGGGAGCTATGCAACTTTTCTACACGCCCTAACGCCTCTGGTAGTAGCGTGCCAGCTGGGAGATGGAGACACCCAGGGCGTTAAGGTCATGGACCATGAAGGCGAGGTCAGGAAGTGGCGGTTTTATAGATTTCCTAAAGGAAAATGAGTCAGAGATTTGGGGCTTCCAGGTCCTCCACAGGATACCCCTACTGGCCAACCCCTAGAAAGGGGTCCTCAGAGCTCACGTGTGCATTAAAAGTTTCCATATGGAATGTGGCCTTGGAAACAGAGTTATGCTTATGCTATTTATTTAGGTGAATTATAGCAGCTGCTATGTCTTAACTCAAGCCATCTGTCTGGTACACGGCTAACCAGGAGCGTGGAAATCTCTACAATTAGTCTCAGACCCCATGGCAAGGGGTGTAATTGTCAGGAGCCCTGAAGAAACCCCCCTGCTCCTGCCCCAGGTCACCTGGACTCAGGCTGCAGGCACAGCCTCCTGGGTGGGAGCACACTCATGCACGAGTCTGTGAGCACATCTCAGCTGGTCACTGCGGAAGCAGCCTGGCCAAGGACGATGGCCAAAGACGACCACCAAGTGCTCAAACAGCATATGTTCCCAGATCACAGGTGACCCACCACGAGGCAGCTCTCCAACTGTTCACTTGATACAATGCCATGGGAACACACGGCTCTGGCCACTTTTGGATGTCATCCAACCCCCTGTCCCCCAGGGAGCTCTCTTTGATTAGCGTGCAGGTCCCTGTCCCATATCCCTGGGCAGTCAGGAAGGCCACTCCATCATCCTTGCTTAACTAGTGAACAAGAGACATCAGAGGTGAGGTGACTTCCCCAGCTGCTGGAGCGCATCCAGAGCCCAGACAGCCTCCACGGCCCAGCAAGCCTCAGTCCTCACCTGTGGACCAACCCCTTGCCTTTCCAGGTCACACACGTCACTCTTTCTGCTTCTTGGTTTCTGGGATGTCTGTCTCACACATGTTCTCTCTGTCTTGCTGTCTGTCTCTGTGTCTCTCACACACACTCTCTTTCTCACACCCGTTCAGAGACCCCTGGCACAGTGTGCAGTTTCCTTTCTGCAGCCCCTGTGGTGCTGACCTCTCCAGCTGGCTTGAACAGCTTCTCTTACAGGATGTGAGTTGGGGCTTCTGAGGCCCATTAGCCCTCGGTTTATGGTTTATAGCCCCGAAGAAGAATAAAAGGGCAAAGGCTCAGCTTCCCACGGGGCCTCCAACTTCCTGAGAGGACAGAAGCTGCCCAACCCTCCCGACACACGGACGCACACAGGATGGAGGGATGGAAGCCGGCCTTACTCCTCCCATCTTCCCTGCACTGGAGCTCGCTTCCTCCCTCACCCCTGCCCTGCTATTCCAGCCCTGCGTGAGCCAAGTGTCCCCAAAACTCCCTTGTGACTTAGGGTCACCTCCCTTCTCTCAGGCGCCAAAGTGTTCATACTCTAGGTTTCACAGCTTGGAATTCCCCAAACTCAATAATCCCAGTACAGAGGGTACCACAAAAATGTGAACACATTTTAAGAAAGGAAAATAACGGGATCAGATTGGTGCAAAAGTAACTGCCATTACAAATAACGGCCAAAACTGCGATTATTTTTGCACCAACCTAATATTAAAATAACGCTGATGGTAACCACTTTGAGCACCTCTTGAGAAGTCAAACGTGACTTGTATTCATCTTCTGTTATCAGAATATATTGAGCATTACAATTTTAATAGTTTTTTTTCCTTTCTTAAAATGTGTATACATTTTTTTGGCACCCTCTGTATTTTGAAAGATACAACTTGAAAATGTAGCAAAATTACAAACAAGGTCTCCCATTAACACACTAGCCAAGGGTGACTCCACTGGGTCACACCATCACAGACTTCCAGGGGCCTCTGCCCTCTGCTCTGGGTGGATCAGGTCACCCCTGACTCATGCTCTGTGCACAGGAGTTTGTGGTCACCCCTCTGACACTTAACCATGCCCTGCCTGAACAGGAGCTCAAAGACCAGGTGCCAGACTCCCCGATTCAAGGCGACAGCATGGGATGGTCCAGAGGGCCTCAATTCACGTCACAATCCAGGCCCCAGGATGGAGAAGAAAAAGCAGCACTGGCGTGTAGGAGCAGCTCACGGCTAATTGGCCATGAATATGGATGGGCCAGGACTGCCTCACGCGGAGGAAGCCCTCAACAGACTGCCAGATAGCTGGGGTTTTACATTATCAGTATTTACAAATGCAGGAACAGCGTATTCAATAGGGCTCTGACGTGCAGAGAATTAATTTCAGGCAGCGTTATTGCAAAATTAGCATTCATTGCAGCCTCCTAAGGAGAAAACCCACATACCTACAATGTGGGGTGAAGGGGTGGGGTGGGCGGGGTTGTTAAACAATCCCAAGGCCTGGTGGCCTCAGGCCTGCTCCACTGCCCTAAGCTCTCTGAGAAAAGGGACTGATCTGCTCTGTCTTCAGCACTGGCTGCACAGTATCTCATCATCATCACTCAGGATGTCCCAATTTTATAGGTGAGAAAATTGAGGGAACAGAGGAAACTGGCCCATTGGCTCTCCTCCTGCTCCCTCCAGAGGACCTAAACCTGTGCCCTGGAGACAGGCCGGCTGTGTGGGGCCCTGGGCTATCTGAGCCAGGCCCTGATCTCGGGGCTCCGACAGCGGCCCTGACTCCTGCCTGGCCACGAAGGACCGCTACTGAGGACCGCTGTTTGGGTTCCGCTCCCAGGCTCCAGCATCTCATGTTTCCTCCTCCAGAGGGTGGGGATGGTGCTGCACGTAGACAGTTCTGTGTGTGCAGTCCCTAGTCTATCCCCGGAGAATCCAGACTCTGATACAGAGAGAGGTGCTCTAGGTTCTCAAAACGCCACCTTGCTATGGGAGCTGTCTGCAGAAGGAGCCAGTGGCAGAGCCCTGCTGGAACCCTAGAATTCAGGATATGTTATGGAAATGGAAGCTTTTAGTACCATTATAGGCTTTCCATAAATATCAGAGCACCCCTCCCTCTCACAGTTTCACTGGTGGCAGAGCAGGCACCACAACAACTCTGTCCTGGCCTGGCGTTTGTTTTGATGGTGAATCAAGGCAGCCTCTGAACTTGGTCTTAGTGGGAAAAACAGCATCACCCACGTACCTCCTCAGGCAAGCTTCCCTGTAGTTGAGATGCTAGGCCATGTGCTTTCAAAAACAGGGTTTTATACTACACTTGAGAATAAGACAGACATGCGGGCCCAGGCCAGCTCAGGCCACCACGCACTGATAACCACAATGGCCAATTGCGCTGACAGAGTGTGAAGCCACAATGGGGGACAGGCAAGCCTCAAGCCCCGAATCCCCTCCATTCCTTAAACATCCTCTTCAAGACTAGGACCGTACCACTGCTCTACTGCATATCTCAGGCTGGGATAGTACATCTCTGTTTTAGGGGAAAACACCTAATTAGAACTATTCAGGTGGGGGTGGGGCTAGGTCATTTTAATTAAGCAATACATGGTCCAGGGTGAGGTATAATAAAAATGGGGATATCTCACACGGAAAAGGGGGTCGTGAGTCAGAGGCCAGCAGAAACCACACATGGAAATTTGGGAACTCTGTAAGTGCCAGACTCAAAACGCCCATGCAAACGAAAGTGAATGGCATCGGCAAAAGTGATGCAAGCATATGGGCACACGTTCGCACCATAGACGGTCTGACCTGGGTGCACCTCTGGCCTGCGTTCCAGGCACTACACCCACCTCCTGCTAAGGGATCGGCTCACCCCCTGCAGTGCACCACATTCCAGAGGTGGGGGGGATGCAGTCAGGGAAGAAGGTGGCAGTGGACTTTGCTGTGGGCAGCTCTGTGCCAGCTCCTTGCCCCTGTGTCTCATTCCTTTCTGATTCTGGGGCGGAAGGCTGTCACCCACTGCTTGCACTGGCCAGACTCTGCTGGGGACCATCTGGGGACATGGCGACTGCCAGGGCACCCCAGGGGCGGGTCCGTTCATGCTGTGGTTCTGTGCCCAACTCTGCTCCGATGGTTCTTGGGTATAACACTAACCAAACTGAACACATCCCACAATCCCCAAGCCCAGGCATGGCACTATTTATGCAAATACAACACCTCCATTCGAATGCTAAATAGATCAGCATGCCAGGTGACCTCATCTAACTAACCATAAAAATGCAGGGCTCTCTTTCTCTGGGAGAGGATCATGCTGCAACCTGCTCCCCTTCCCACGTCTTTTCCCAGCAGCGCACAAGTCGGGAAACCAGAACTTCGTCTCTCTCAACCCACCTCTAACCCAGAGGCAAGCTGGAGCCCGACCGCCGCCCGCCCCGCACTTACTTCAGCATGTCTTTGTCCTTGTTGAGATGCTGGAAGAAGGAAGGCTCACAGATGAGCTGGTTCTCCTGGCACACCTGCTTGCAGGACTGCCCGGGCTCAGCAAGCTTCACCTGCAGGGCGCTGAGGGGCGGCCACATCACTTGTCCATGGCAGAAGTCCTAGAATGACAACGAAGCCATCAGCCAAGGGGCCAGGGATGCAAGTGGGGATCCCCAGCTTGCCAAGCAGTCCCCCTGAAGGGGGACTGTGAGAGAGCAGAGAAGGGTGGGAGCCAGACAGACTAGGGTTGGAACTGGGCTCAGCCAGGTGTCCTTCGGATGGCTCGTCACCTCTCTATCCACCAGCTTCCTCAACTGCGGAAGGGGACAACCACAGTATCTCCCATACAGGGCTCGAGGGGGAGAGGTAATACGTGTTATGTGCACAGCCCCGGGCCAGCCAGCGCCCGAGGCTAGTCATTATTACCACCATCAACAGTGATGCAATCCAGCAATTTAAAGCCTCCACACTCCACGGCCCATCTCCAGGCCCACCTTCACCAGCTGTTCTGTTTCCCCGCTCTGATTCCAAAGACATCTCAGTGTCTACCTAATTTGGCGGTTACCTAATATGATACTTTTGTGAACACTGCTTTTCACTTTGTGAAGCGAAGGAGCACAGTGAGGCGTCTGCAGGCACTGCTGATAGAGCCTCTCCTGACTCATGGCCTTGGTATGGGCTCCAGGCTTGTCCATGGAGAATAATTACAGTAACGCACTAATTCAACAGCTAGAGAAACAGTCTGAGGACGTGTGATAGGACGTGAAGTCACCTGGTACACCCTCAAAGAGAGGCGCCCCCAAGCACAGCTCAGCACGGGGCAGGGCCAGGCATTCCCGGGATCTAGAGGGAGTGGAGGAGACTAGCCTGTCTAAGTAAGACCTGGGGTGGGTGGAGGGAAGTTATGTGGGTGGAGGACCAGGAAGTAATCTGTGCAGTGTGATGATGAACGTGCAGACTGGGTGGTGAGAAGACGGAGTGGGGCTGGGCAAAGGGAGGGGAGGAGCGGGAAACTCTGTGACCTGGGACCCCAGCTTTCATTTCAGCTGTGCCCCAAGTAACCGGGAGCAGGTACCAGGGTGGGAACTCATTCACCACTGGCACCAGCGCTTGCTCTGCTCACAGGGTCCTCTGAATCCCCAGACCGCCCAGCCTGTGGACGGTGCTATCTGTGCAGGAGACCTGAAGAGCCAAGATTAACTCTGTTTGGGGTGAACTGGCCCCCAAGAGTGCCCAGTGGCAGTTAGGATCCTGGGCTCTGAATTCCACTTGTAGGAATTCACTCTACAGATATACCGGGAAGCACGGTGCAAAGAAACCTACAGAGGATATCACAGCAGTATTCTCAGAGTAGAAGCAGAGGACCTGAAACAATCTCAAGGTTGTGTTTAAATAGATAACTGCTGAAATACAAATAGTAACATAGAAATGCAATAGGTTTCTATGTGCTGACATGAAAACAGGCTCCAGAACACACTGAGGAGTGAGAGCAGCAGTGTGGAGGACGGTGTAGAACCTGTTTCCATTTGTGTCGAGCACTGGGGAGGAGATGGAAAGACATATACAAACATTCATTTGCTCCTGCAAGAATCTCTCTGGTTGGCACGGAAGGGAAACCGAGTTCTAGGGGCAGGAGTGGTAAGAAAATTTACTTTTCAATGTATGTCTTTCTGGAATATTTTATTTTTCCCGTGTCCTTTCCCTGCTGTGTGGATGCGGAGCTGATGAATAATCTCAGAACCGGTGCAGGCAGAGGAAAGAGTTCATGCCCCGCCCTGTTTGTCACCTGGAGCATTGCAGGTGGGACAGAAGGGTCCCTTAGCAGTGCAGTGGGTGCAGCCCCAGAATGCAAGCCCAAGCTGCAGCCAGGAGCGGCCTTCCATATTACTTGCATTAAAAAAACCAAAAAAACCAAACCGTGCTTGTATTGCTATTAAGTGAGAAAAAAGACAACAAAACAGAGCAAAGTGAAAGGCACCCCAGGCTCTGCAGGCACCAGGCTCCAAGGGTACATCATGCCTCTCCCTTTTACCAGCTGTGAACCTCTGGGGAACTTTCTGAAGCCTCAGTTTCCTGTGCTGCTAACAGACTAAGTGATGAGCTGAGTGGAAGGCTGGCAAACAGCAGGTATTCCATTAATGCCATCTCCCTCCTCTTATTCTGCCATGGAGGGGTTGCCTGTGCCCCGTATTGGAGTTGGGGCATGGCAGCATTGTCATCTGCAGAAGCTGGGGCAGTGGTAACTGCACGACTTTATCAATTTGCAAAAAAACAAACAAACAGAAACCACCCCACTGAATTGTACCCTTACATGGAGTGAATTTTATGATCTGCAAGTAACATTTCAATGAAGCTGTTTGAAAAAACACACCTTGGTTGGTTTTGGGGCTCCTGCAGCAGCAGGTAGCAAACTAAGGCTTTCAGAGGACCTATTCTGTGCCAGGCACTGTTGTAGCCCTAAACATGTATTAAACTATTAAGTCCTCCCCCAACCCTACAGGGTGGGTAGTATTATCCCCATTGCACAGAAGAGAAATAGCACAGAGAGGTGAGGAAACTTGCCCAAGGTCACACAGAGAAGGGGGCAGAGCCTGACTCCAAGGTCCAGGGCTTACTCATCACCTGCCCAGTCTCTTTGGGATCAGGGATGGCTAGACAAACAGCAGACGAGTTTTCAAAAGAGCAATATGCTAGGGACAACCTTTTCCCATGCTAGTGACAACCTTTCCCCTTTTTAATTCCTTTTCTTCTTTCCCTGCAACCTGTGCCACCACCATTCCACCCCCCCCCCACCCCCACCCTGGGCTATCCAGAGTCACAACCAGGCTTGTCCTTGCACCGAGAACACTCCCCAGGGAGTTCAAAACGGGCTCTGATAGGTAAGATTTCCCCGGAGCTGAAGCTGACTGCACAGAGGCTCTTGGCATTAACTCTTTTTCTCCCTCCATTTCTCCAGAATGCTTTTCATGTGAATTACACAGCTCTCTGCAAAATAATATGAGCATAATTATCCAGCATACTTCTAGGGGCTTAACGGGAAGTAGAAAATAGGGTTGAAGAGCCTATGTGTGGCTTTCAGAAATCTGAACACTGCCGTTCCTTCAAAGGAACCTGCTATATGCTCTGGCCTGAGGCAAATACCGAAGCCTTTCCCAAGAAATGCATAATGAGAAACTTAACAGCCTGGACCCACTCAGGTTAGCGAAGAATAGTACTCTTGATCTTAGATTACAAGGGATTTTTTGCCTTGCCACCCACCCCCTGCTGCTGGAGAGAGCACTTCTTTTAAGAGGGCTGATTTAAAGGAGCACGCACTCCAAATCAACATTTTTAGTACTGTAAAAGGGAGGAGGGCATTAGGGGGAAAAGCAAGTGGTTTTGCCAAAGCCAGGATTCTCTCTCGTTGGGTGCTCCAGCCGGGTTGGCAGGCTATGAGGTAGGCTTCCTGCTGTCAACCACTCAACTGTACACTGAAGCTTGGGGCTTTTGCAATTGCTGTCAATTGGCTTCCTCTGGCTCCTGTTGCCTTGGGTGAGCATGACGGACAACTCTGAAGGGTTCTGGGATAAAAGCTTCCTTGTTCCCCTTGCAGATCACAGGGAGGAGTTCAAGGCCGAGATCAGCCTCATTAGAGGTGCCGCTCCTCCAGTTCACGGAGCGGGAAGCCTGAGGTGTCACCACCTCTTCAGAGCCTGAGGCTTTCCTGTTCATACCAAAAAGTACTCCTCTCTCCAGTGTCATAGCTCTTTGAAGATATATTCCTCTAGCTGCCAAAATAACTGAACACCCAAAGCTCCAAAACGCCGGGGCCTGGAGGTAATCATTAGCGGCAGAAGACCCAATCTGCCAACAAATGGAGTTCTGGCATTCTGTCTTCCCTGTGGAGTTGGGGGAACATTAGGGCATCAATGAAGCCCTCCACAGAGGCCTGGGATAAACTCAAAATAGGCCCCTTTGCTGCCTGTTTAGCAGCACTGGGAGACAGTTTAATAAGAAACGCCTAGAAGATTCCTAGAATGATTTTCCTAAAACACCAATCTGACAACATTGCCCTCATCCTGCCTAAAAACCTTGCTTTAGTTTCCTGTTGTCCCAAAATCAAATCTGGAATTCTTCAGCTGAGCCTCAACACCATTTTATTATCTGTTTCCTCCTCCAGCCTCATCCTCTCACATAGTCGCTTCAGTCAGAGCGAACTTCCAATAATTCACAAGTTCTCTTTATTTTTCCTCCAGACCTTTGCATCTTGACTTGTAAAGTCTTCCCCGTGGCCCCAATTGCCTTCAGGACTCATCTCCTACAAATACTTCGGGATAGACTCTCCCCCATCCCTTCCCCTCCCCATCCTGCAGGCTGAGCTAGGAGATCCCAAAGCATCCTGGTGACAGCACCATTACAGGGCGTAACCTACACCGGTGGCATTGCCCATGGATTTGACTGGCTTCTCTCTGATACTTGAAGCTACCTGAGGACAGGGACTAGTCCTTTGACATCTTTTCTTCCCCAACTCCCAGCACAGTCCACAGCACGCAGCTGACACGTATTTACAGAATGGATGAAAGGATGAACAACAGCAGGCAAGAAAGCTCTCTGGATTTGTGAAGCACAGAGCTCTGTGGAAAAGTCTATACCCAGGAGGTGGTGTGAAAGGGCAGCTCTATTAGCATGTTTCCAGAAGACAATTTTAGGGACACATTTTCCAACCATAAGGTCCAAGATGAGCATGGTTCCTGGTGCACATGGTAGAAAGCACACGCGCCCACCCTTTCACTCATTTATTCCTTCCTTCAACTGTGAGTTGTTGCACACCTACTGTGTGCCAGGCAGAGGGCTAGGCACCTGGGATTTAGCGGTGAGCAAGCTGAGCTTGGCTCCTGCATTACGCAGCCTTTAGCAAGGCCTGTTTGGGGAGCATGACCTTTCTGTTTGAAAGGAAACCTAGTAATAAATTTATAGAGACCAGGCCATACAAGAACTTTTAAGGACTAGCTGGGATTCAAGAGTCTTAGGGAAGAAAGAAAGAAACGACTTCAGATAAACTTGATAAAGAGTCTTTTTCCATGTGGTGGTAAGTAACCATTTTCCCTGAGGAAGTGGAGACGGAAAAGGAGGTGGGTTTCAGAGGCAGCTGCCAGGGATCCTGGTAAAACCTCAGACAGCTTCCTGGGATGGGAATAAGAGCTGTTGATATCTTAAAACTCACCCGCCAGAGGAGGTCACAGCAGCCCCTGCCTGCGCCTTCAGGAGGAACCAGCAACTCCTTGCGGTAAAAAGATGGAAGTACAGTTCTGGGCCACCTGCCATGGCCTGAGGCCCTGCAATGCCATTGGTGCAGTTGGGCTCAGACCAGCCCAGCATCAAGCCTTGATTCCATGACTTGTGAGCCCTGTCACTGCCAGTCTCAGTTCCCATTACTCAGAGAAAGGGGATATTAATGTCACCTCCCAGGATTACATGAGGATTACATGAGATGATGCACTGTGGTGAGCTTGGTACACACTGGCATAAAGCTTGTAGGTAATCGGCTGCTAGAGTTAGGGTGATGATACTATCATTCTTAATATAGATGTGATATAAAAACTGATTGAGATACTGATTCAAAGGCTTAGCTCTCATGGTAAAGTCTGATGAGTATAATTATATAATATATTATGTAACAATAATATAATATGCTCATATAAGAATATAATACAATATTATATAATGCATGATATATTAAGTAAGCAACAGTACTAGTTGGCATTTATGGAGTAATGTGTGCCAGCCCTGTTCTAAGCACTTCATATGTATTTGCTCATTTAATCCTCCCACCAGCCCTATGAGGTTCTATTATCCTCCTGATTTTACAGGGGGAGGAAACTAAGGCACAGAGAGGCTGAGTGTCATGCCCAAGTCACACAACCAGAAAGTCTAGGTGGTGGACCTGGACCCAGGTGGTTGGCGGCAGAGCACGCCCTCTTGTGGCCAACAAAAAAAATCAGAGTATCAGACATGCCCCCTTGAAGCCAGTGCCCCACAGCTCACCCTCCAACAGCTGCACCCAGGGCTGTCCACTGCTCATCACAGTCTGTCGCCTCACGTCTTTCCTTTGAAACCTACCTTGAGCCTACAATCTAGGCCGACATATATTTTCAATACACTGTTTCTATTTTCAGACTGCACAATCCTCATCCTCTAATTGTGTAAAGATCTCTTGATCGCCCCAAGATTCTCTGCTTTGTCCTTTAAGAGGAGCCCCTTATTTCTGGAGCCTGGTCAAGAAGTTCATACTTCGCTCCCCCACAGGGGTTCTCAGTCATCTATTTCTAGCTCTGTGTTGCTTTTGAAGCCTAAGGGATTAAAAATCTTATAAATGATGGAAACGCACTTTTGGCCTTTAAGTCCATGAGCACAAGCCAGAGCTGCCACACTCTTGGGGTCACGGGACTTGGGGCACCCTCCCCTGCTTTGGAAATGAGGCCCTGCTTTTATTTGTTTTATATACTTAGGCTTCATATAAAATGTCATTTGAAAAGGGGTCCTGTTAGAAAAGATGTTTGAAAACCACTAAAAAGTCCTAACATATTTGGAACTGGAGAACATCTATTAAAGGCATACTTAGAAACCACAGGGTTCAGTCCTTGCCTTTCTTAGGGGGAGAAATGACCATCAGGCAGGACCAGGGAGCTGTCTCTTTGCCCCCCTCCCATCTCAAGTCTTTGTGATGCTCTCCAGAACCCAATCGGAGCACAGGTCTGATGGTCTGATGCTCAAGGTTTTCATCTTGACCATCCAGTCTCTCCTGTAAGTTTCCATTTGGCCTTCCACCGTCATAAAGAACATTCTCCCCCCAAGGACAGACTGACTGCCTTCGGTGACCAGCGTATGCTTCAGAATTCCAATAAGCCATCATCCAACTGGGGGAGTCTTTCAAATCAGGAAAATAACCGGAAACATGGTGAGGAATGAACTGTGCATGAAAGCCCCCTGGAGTAACAGGAAGGACATAGTGAAGACGGGCGAGTTTGTGAGGAGCCTCACCTGTTTTTCAATGAAAGCGTTGATTCTCTGCAGCATCCCCTCGCATGTGAACTCATACGGCATGTACGGCTCAATCTGTGGAAACAGAACATAGTGTCATGAAAGAGGAGGACACAGAATATGCGACACTCACCCAGACCTCCACTGAGTCACTCACACTCAGGTGCTAGCACCTGCAGTCAGCCTTGTGAGGGCCTATGACTATGAATTTGGAAGTCAACAGACCTGGGTTCACAACCTCACTGCTCCTTACTAATTCTGGGATCCTAAGCCAATTATCTATCATCTCCGAGCCTCAGGTTTTCATGTGTAAAAGAAAAAAAAAAAAGAAAAAGTTTTCATGGTGAAAAGAAAAACTCTCTTCAAAGCTGTGGTGAGGTTTACATGGGGGGAAAAAGTACAGTGCTTAGTTCAGGGTCTAGCACAGAGTAGGCATTCAGCAAAAGGTGGGGAGAATCACTTTCAGAAGGTCAGCCCCAGGGGGGCAGGGTCCATGGCTGCTGGGCTGTCTTTGTAGCCCAGTGCTGAGCAATGTGACACACGTAGGAACTTAACATTCATTCAAACATCTGTTGAATGAATTCATGCTCACTGCTCTGAGAAACGCACATGACGAGTGGCTTAAGAACCCATGACGATAACAAAAGCATCACTCCACGTTCGTAGGTGAGACTGACATGTACCCCAAGAATCTGTGGTGGAAGGACAGCGATAAGGCATCCTGAAGAGCTCACCTGGAAGTGAACTTTGACTTCTAGGAGGTCAAAGCAGACTTCTCTCATGTTGGGCTTTTTAGGCCATCTATGATTCTAGCAAGCCAAGATGCAGATGTTTCAGGTGGAGCTACTAATGTGAGATTAGACACCAAAGAAAGACAGCAGGAGGGTAGAGCTCAGGGTCATGGAGGCTGGGCAGAGGTTCACTGGATTTCCCACAAAAGCCTTGAAATTTCTACATGAAGGTGCCTAGACTTTGTTTGAGGGCAGCAGAAACCAAGGAGGTGCTTTGCTGGGATGGGGCAGTCAACCTGATCAATACTGTGACACCTAAGGGAAGGGGAAAAAATGTGGGTTTGATCTGTGCTGCACAGTGCTTGTGCCAACACGATGAAGCCTCTACTTTCAGGGGCAACCAGCTAGCATCACCAATCTGAAATGGCAATTTCCCTTGGAAGAAAATCATCAGCCATTTAGTCTGTTACTGAGAGTCCAGAGAGCACTGTCAGCAGCAGGATAGAGGGGTAACCTTCACCATCTCCCTCTTAAGTCTATACTTGCCTATCTTGAATGTAGAGTGGAGAACTGGACAAAACATCTGAGCTGAGGCCTGCTAAAAATGGGACAATTGATAGGGAGGACATCCTTTTTGTGAGCACATTAGCAGTTCATGTCAGGGCTCTCCCCTTTTCCTGTGTGTTGATTTACACATTACATTTGAGATCTTTAACCATGATTGTTAAGTTCCTAACATATCTTCGAATGTACAATTCGATGGCTTATCAAACAGGATGTATCTCCCCATCCCTGCACACATCCATTCAGGCAGAGCTAAAAGAGGCTGAGCAGTAAGTATTGTAATATCAGGGCAGGACTATTCTGCAAACACAGAGGTCATTCTGTTCCTAGGTAGTTCATTTCCGAAGAGTTCAAAAACACTTTGAAAAACTGACTTCCCTGTTCCAAGCTTGTGCGTTCTCATCTCAAGCTTTTGCTCTTGCTGTGTCCTCTCTGACCAGACATAGCCCTTCACACCAAATGTAAATCTTTTCTTTTAAAGAATATTTACTCAACCCATGGGTGCTTCCAGGAGCTTTCTATAACTGGCCTACAGATATGTCTTCTTCCAAAGGTTCACAGAAGGAATAAAAAGAAACTATCTACAACAGAGGACTTGGTATATCAAGCTCATGTCTAGGGGGACACGTAGAATTTCTAGAGTGAAATAACCATCAGTGGCCATCTGTCATGACACATCAGGTCCAGTCATGTGGTAGGAAGTAGGCTGAATACTCAAGGGACATTCCTATAACATATTCCAAAGGGCATTCATTAGAAATGGAAGCGAATTAATCCAAAGGCTCATTGCAATACAGAAAAATGGCTCTCTCTGTGTCCTCCTAGCAACCAAACCCAGTTTAACCAAAGGGAGGCTGACTCATTAATTGCTTTGTGGCCCAGCTCACTGTTTTAAAGGATATGAAGCCAAACAATTTTCCTATAAAGGAAAAGTGAAAACAAAACACAAAAAAGAAAAAAACGAAAGACATTGTATTCTTAAGCCACCTCTGCCATCCTGCTGAGCACAGGAGCAGGGCCCTCTGTGTGGTAAGCTCTCCAGATCCCTGGCTTCCGGAATGAAGAGCGCTGGCGAGCTTCTGAGGTAGGAACTGTTGTGCAGATTGAAGGTGTGTGTGTGATAGTTTTTTGTATGACAGTCCTTCAGCAACAAGTCAAGGTCTCTTTGGGAAATGGCATGAAAGGAAACGCTGAAACCACATCCAGTCACTGAGAAACCCAAGTAGGGCCAGTCGTGGAGAAGCAGGGAGAAAGCCCTTGGTCATCCTGCTTTGTGGAAAAAGGACTGTCACTCATATGGCCACAGGAAGGATGCCTGTAGGTTGCACGGTGCAGCTCCTGCTGGCCTTGGAAACTTTCCATTATCTTCCCGCTTTCTCCTCCAATTCTCTTTGTGTTGCAATTTGGATAATTTCTGTTGACAACTCTTCAAGTTCACTGATATTTTCCTCTGCTGTATGCAGTCTGCTGATAAGCTCACTAAGAGAGTTCTTCATTGCTGATACTGTACTTTTCAGTATTAGCATTTTCTCACTTGGCTTTTAAAAAGTTTTTATCTTTCTGCTGAAATTCCCCATTTCTTCACAGATATTGACCACCATTTTCACCAATATATTTATCTTAGCATTTTAAAATTGCTGTATGATAATTTCAACTTCTGGGCCATCTTGAGATCTGGTTTTATTAACTGTTTCCTCTCCCAATGATGTGTCATGTTTTCTTACTTTTTTGATTGTCATGTAATTTAAAATCTTGTGATTTAACATGAGAAAGGTTGGCACCATATTTCTGACCCATTTCTAACAAGTGTAAGGATTTTAATGACAATAGGTTTTGTATTAATTTCATTCCTTACTTCTTATCTTTCCCTTTACTTCATTTCATGCATTTTCCCCATTTTAATTTTATATTATCTTAACAAACTAGTCAGTCAAAAAGACCTAGGTGTCAATACAGCATGAGTACATTACTTAATTTACTTAAATATTAATCTTCTCAGCTGAAAAAGGATTAAATGTGATAAGGTTCATAAAGATTAAACAAAGGTAAAGCTCATAACTGTGTACTGAAAGAGTCTAGGCGTATAGAAAGAGGTTCTCTCCACCTATAAGCTATAATTACTTTTTTTTTCTTAAGTGGCCTTAAATAGTTTTTGGAATAGGGTGGAAAGGGTTGATCAGAGTTTTAAAATGTGGAGCTCTAAAGGTTCCATGGAGTGCAGAGTAGCCTCATGTAAGAATGAGTAGACAGAACTTAGTACCCTACTCAGCGCTTGATGTATCAGGCATTCCCATTAGATTTATGTGACAAAAGGGATCTATTGTCTAAAAAGTTTTGGACTCCATGATCCAAGTATTTCTGCCTCTATATTAGCTTTTAAATTACTCCTTTTCAAGGGCATGTGCACTCAATTAAGTGTTGTGGCTTAAATTGTGTCCCCTAAAAAGATATGCTTGAAGTCCTAAACCCCCAGTACTTGCATATGTGATCTTTTTGGGAAATAGGGTCTTTGTAGATGTAATCAAGTTAAGATGAGGTCATACTGAATTAGAGTGGGCCCTAATCCAATATGACTGATGTCCTTGTAAGAAGTAGAGATGAACCCCACCCCCACCACACACACACACACACACACACACACACACACACACACACACACACACACAAAGATCGCCATGTTATGACTGAGACAGAGGTTAAAGTGCTGAAACGGAAAACAAAGCAACACCTGGGCCACCAGAAAGTGGAAAAGGCAAGGATCGCCCACCAGAGGCCTCATTCAGAGGGACCACAGCCCTGCCAGCATCTTAATTTCGGACTTCTAGGCTCCAGAACTGTGAGAATAAATTTCTGTTGTTCAAGCCACCAAGTTTGTGGTTCTTTGTTATGGCAGCCCTAGGAAACTAACACACTAAGGGACATGGAGACTCAAGAAAGGAGAAAAACTTTCGCTCTCCACAGGAATGACGTCCTGGTGGCGAAGCTTTGGGTGTGAAGAAGAAATTCTGAGGCACCTCTGTGGTATCACACTCCACTCAGCACTTTTGTGGGCTTGGGCACCGGAGGTCTGAAGAACTCCTGCCCTAAACTGTTAAGACTGGGATTGAGATTGTCTGTGTCATTCATGGGAAGCTCGAGAAGTTACACCAAAGCTCAACAACCAGACCCTTCCCAAGGGGGCAGGACAAGCTGATGCATCGCTGTGCCCTGGAGATGTTGTGAGTCCACTGCAACTGGCAGTTCAGTGGGCCACATTTCATTTCCCAAAGGGGAAAGGTGGCCTTTTACATGGGTCAGCTCTTTCTACCAGGATTCCTGCTTTCCTAGGTCTTCCCTTTACTTACACTGTGCTGGAACCCATGGCCTTCGGGGCCCTTCTTAGTTTGGCTTTGCAAATTCCTGCTCATCCTATAAGACTTAACTCAATGCTGCATTTTCAAAATAAGTCTCTCCCCACTTCCACGCCTCGATCTTTTGCATGTTGTTGGCACTGAACATTACCTGCAAACATCTACGTCCCCTATGCCAGGTATGTGGTAAATCACTATGCTGGGCTTTGAGAACACAACAGTGAGACAGGCATATTCGCTGCACTCACATTTCTTATAAGAGTCTAGTGGAAATCCAGACTATCAATGACAAAAACAAGAATATTATGTATGTAAGACTAATGCTGACTAAACACATACTATGTGGTAGACACTGCGCTGAAGCCTTTATATTCATTATCTTATTGAATCCTCACAAGGGCCCTCTAAAGTACATAAGATGAGCCTTCATTAGAGATGAAGAAACTGAGGCTCAGAAGTTAAGTAACTGCCAGAGGGAACGCTACTCGTAAGTGGCAGAGCTGGAGCCCAAACCTACAGCAAATCCAGCCTGCCTTCACCACCAGGCTTACACTGCTTCTCTTAAAACATCGTAAGGGGGTGTAAAATGTGCCCTGACAGGATGCGTACAAGGCAGGTGCACCTGATCGAGTCTAGGGCAGTCTCAGGGTCAGGAGAGAGGATAACTTAACCCATCCCCACTGGGTGGTAAGCTTCTTACAGGTGGGGAGTCAGCCTCCATTATGTTTATGGAAGTGAGTGTACCCTGGAGTTGCTCGGAAGGTGCTCTGCATACAGTAGGTACTTAATAAATGTCTGCTGAAGTGATCAGGAGAGTCCAGAGATGCCATTTACTTCTGTACAATTCCAGAAAATGTTCAGGTAGAAAAGCCAACAAAGAGATGCTATATAAAAACATTCTATATATAAAGTATTTCCTTAAATATTCCTTATCCTCACATTTTTATAGGGAAGCAAGTTTGTCTTTTCAGGTCTTTATGACAGCTACATAATTAGGTCACTGAAGCAAGCTCCGATCACTGTGTCTGGGACCCAGGAGACATGCCGAAGCTTTTGCAGAACCACACATACCTGAGCGCCGGCTCTGTTTCCATGTCACAGAATGTCCATGAAACCCCCAGGCCAAATGCTATGGCTTGGTGATTTTCTAATTCCAGAGTTAAGCTGACATGGAAACGCTGTAATTACTCAAACAAAGGGCCTGTGATACTTTCCATACTCTCCCGTTCACATTACAAATGGGGGAAAATGAAATAAAAGAAACAACCTTCTGACTTAAAATTGCTTTCACCGCATCCTCGACCTCTTCCTGATTGCTGAGGTCAACAGTCCAGACGTGTGGCCGGCCGATGAAAACTTCAGCATAAGGATGCTGAGATGTCAGCTAAAAAAGAAAAGACAGAACACCTCAATCTCACACACACTTAAAAAACAAAACGAAAACTTCCGTGCTAGAGGAAGTGTTATGCTTGTTATGTACCAAGTTGTATCGTGCAGATAAGTCACCATTTTTGTCCTTCCTCTTGACGTTGCAAACCTCCAAAGCAAACCATAAGCAGGCAACAGTAAAATAGTGATGACTCCACATCATTTTTTTTTTTTTGACCAAGTGGAACTTTTATTGGGTCCACCCAGAACCATCTGGAGGCAGAGGCACAGCACTGACAGGTCCAGGTAAAGAAACTGGGGCTGCACCTGCCTGGATGCCCAAAAGTGTCATATGGGATGTTTTAAAAGGCCAGGGCCATCCTGGGTCCTTTGAGCTGGGACCTCAGCACTTTGGAGTGTTCCCTGGGGGTCCGAGGAGGATAGCATGTGGGCCATGACCCTGCCTGAGGCCAGGAGATCCATGGGGCAGAGACAATGATGGCTCCCTGTCTTGAAGCCCACTTGTAAAGAAGAGTTAGAATGTCATAATCAGGTGACATGGAGGGTGTGACAGGTAGTTTCAACCCCCAACATCACACCAAGAAATAATGAAGATTTTTTTTCCCCTCTGTCATAACCAAACCCTAAACATCACCTAGGTCAAACTTGTATATGTTAAAAGACACTGGTTAGGATAGACAGGTAAGCACAGGAAAATTACAATAAAGGCTTTAAAGTCAGAGGAGGATGAGTAATGGCACATACAAAACGTGACAGAAAGGAAATAATGCCACCAGAAAAGCTGGGAATTTTGGGGATTGTTTCAGGAATAATCATTAGCATAACACTGAAGCCTTAATATTTTTAAGGACAATCTGGATTCAGAACTGCAAGGCCGTTTTTGTTTTAAGGAAGTTTTACTTTAAGAAGAAAGGGTGGCCAAAGAAACACAGTATGAACACTGGTAATTCTCAGTTCTGAAAGAGCCCAATCTTTAAGACAATTAAATTTACCCCTCAGCTGTGTTTTCGCTTTTATTGTTGTATCCCTTTAAGGCTGTGGTGTGAAAGGAGCATTCTGGGAGTTTGTGAGAGCATTTTCAGTTCTCACAAAGACTGAGGGGGTGCTACCCTGAATGGGTAGCTGGGGACCAGGGATGCCAGGCACCTCGCAATGCAGACGACAGCATGCAACAAGGCAGAGCCGTCACTTCCCATACAGCTTTCACATGCCCTGCAGAGCTCTCATAGGGGTTCACAGAATCTAACTCAGGCACGGTTTTAACATACACAGAATTTCCCAGGAATGTAATTGCCACGTAAATCAAGGGATGTTTGGAACTTCACCAATAAGCTGTTACCATTTTGCAAAAATCATGGCAGTGAAGTCAGTGTCACTCAGCCTATCTGAATCTCCAGTATAATGTACCCAAATCAGTCTAAATTTGTAGCTGAATTGCAACTGTGTGTGTGAGTGTGAACTTTTTTATTTAGCTTCTCTTTCACGCCAATTATAAGCAAAAAGGGCTAACCAGATTCAGCTGAATGTTTTATTCTTCTTAAATACAAAGTTATTCATTGTAAAGGGGAACAAGTCATCTTGATGTCTCTAGTTCTTGAGTACAGATTAGTACTTCTTGACTACACATATACAGGCAAGTGTACTACTTTATTGTAAATTATTTTGCTTTTATTTCTTTTCTTTGAGAGAATCATTCTTTTTGTTTTAATTGCATAGGTAAGCAGGATATATTATTTACAAACTTCATTTCAGGAGAGAAAAGTAGATGTTAATATTCTTATAATACAAGGAGGTGGTGGTTTTCATAGGGTTGAGGCCCTTCCTTGCTTTACAGGCCAAGCTGGCTCTCTTTTTTCATTCAGAGTCCAATAGACCCAGAGGACTGGATGATGTAACTGGCACCTCTCCAGCTGGCTCATGTCACTGTTCTTTGTGTTCTGCCACACCAATGGTGTGCAAGCACTGCGCAAGGCGTGTAAGTTACTGGGCTTCAGATCCGAGCCTTCATGGACACCCACTCATGGAAATCAAGCGATACAGAGGTGCAGGTATCCTAGATGTGGCTCCTGCCTCCTCGGCCAGAGTTACTCCCCCTCGCTGGCCTGGTCAGTTCTCCTTCCTTCTGACTGTACCTTCTTCTGCTCAGCCATATGGTCAGTAGTAGAGTGCCCACGGGTTCATGGAGCTCGGGAAATGTTGATTTTTTTCCCCTCAGCACTTACTTTAGATTCAACACACATCATGGAAGCCTGCGGCTGGGCCAGGAACTGTGCCACTCACCGGCACATACATTGTTTTTCAGGTTTCTTGTGTGTCAATGAGGAATCTGAGGTTTAGAGGGGCTTACGAATTCCCAAGGCCACATAGCCAGAAAGCAGCAAATTCCAATCGAGATCCTTCAACAACTTAGCAGCTTTAGGCAGAAAGGAAGATGGTGATTTTAAAGGATACTATTGGGTTCTTAAAACAAAGAGCAAAACAAGCCCAGTGTAAACACCGGTTTTCTAATCATTCTGTTAAAACTTGCCAACCTAAAAAACAATCCCAGACTGAATTTATGCTTGGATTAGATCCTTTCTGAAGAGGAGCAAAATGTGACACCACATTCATTTCGTGGCCTGGAGAACAAACTACGTAATTCTTACAGTGGAATCAGGGCAAATTAAAGTTGCCATGACTCACTATTTAGCCACTTACATATTAGCAGTCTCTCCCCTTCCCTTTATAAGGTCCCTGTTTATTTAAAAGGTTGTTCTAAGTACTTGGAAAATACAAAATGCTGAGCCACTGTTATTTTGTTCATTTATATTTACTGAGGGTTACTTAATTTTATGAGTAAAGCATTGTGATTCATTATTCCCCCCGAATGTTATATTCCTTTTCGTTAATTTATTGAGAACTGACTGATCTGGGCTACTTCCTTGTATATCAATCAGTATATTTACTGGAGTATAGTTTGTAAAAGTAATGAAAATCTTATTAAATATGAGACATTACTTCAGAGTGACTATTAAATCTTCAAGAAGAACATGAGCTCTCTTCATGGGGAAAAAAAAAAACCCTTGAAGCCACAGAATTTCTAATGGTTTACAAAATGTCAGAATAATGATCGAGAACCTACTAATATGTTTCCCAATATAAAGATAAAAATTCAATTTATATTACATTTAAAGTACAACTTGAACTGACCACATTACTTAAGGCACTATGGAACATTTTCCCCTGAAAGTACATCATGGTTTTAAAAATTGGTCCAATGCAAAAAAATAAAAACAAAACTCTTTTGCTTTCTAAAAACAAAGAAAAATCTAGACGTTTTCTTCTCTTCAAATGGAGGCAAACAAGAGACAACTATACAATTTATATGGATCAACTGCTGCTTAGCTTGAAAGACTAGCATAGGCATACAAAGAGAGCTATGTAATTATATACACTTCAGTTAAAAATTCCATTTATGGAGGATAAAAAGGATAATTTCTAGGGATTTTTGACCCTTAGAAATCTGTATAACTGCCAATTAAAAGCATCTTTGGTTAGGGGAGTTTTGTGGCTTTTGTGAGCTAAAAGAGCAGAGTGGGGTGGCCCACCTGGCCCCAAGATCAAGTTCACTGGCTCCTCTCAGAGCTATGTGATGTTGCTGGCTCCCAGCCTGCTCTCTGGACTGTCTGCAGCAGGGAAGGAGATGGACATCAGATGGAACCTGCCCTCCTGCATCAAGCGAAGTGACCTTGGGGTTTCCTCTGAACTCATCAACATTCACGCCCCTGAAGCTTGAAACCTCACTCTCCTCCTTTTGCTTTAAAGCACAGCTCCTCTACCATCCCTTCTCAGTTAACCAGGATATTACATGCCTGGCACAACTCCAAGTTGATTCCCCCTCCTTAATTTACTTAGCTATTTCTTTATGCATTTCCGTTGATTATGCATCTGTCTTATCAATCTTTCATATCAAATTTTGAGCTACTAGAAAACAGGAAATGTGTCTTGGTAAGTTCCCCCCAATGCAGCAATCAGTAACCACGGATCCTGTGGGGACACAATGAACATCTGTTAACTGATCTTCTACATCCTGGCCCACCTGGGAGCCCAAGACCAATGTGATCAGCTGTGTGAAGTCACTTGCTGAGCAACTGTTGAAAGGAACTCACAAGGCCATTTTAACTCAAGTCTTATTCAAACACTGGTAGAATCATCTGAAAAGACAGGAGGAACCAAATGCCTGGGGCAGAGCGGGGACAGCTCCAATGCCTATTCTTTTAAGCTCCAATAATGAAAACCCTCCAAGAGCTCAACAAAAAGCAAATTACTAAATGGTGACAACTGATTGGAAGCGATGAACATACTTTTCTCAATGACTTCATATTGGCTGATCTGATCTATGCAACATTATTCACTGGGAAATAGATTGTGTTTAAGAGTGCCCTTTGTTTTCGTTTTTAAAGATTTCATTGGGGATTTGGGGGAGGGAGGAATCGGGGAAGGGGGACAGACAAGTTGCTGTCCTTTTGTTCTTCAGTCTAGTTGTGGAGGACATCGCTTCACTGGCCCATGTTGGTATTATCATTGCGCTCTTCCCAAGTGAGGCAGTTCCTCGCCGGCCATTTGATGGCCGCTCACAGCAGCTCATGAAAGCTCACACCAGCTGCCAGCCAGCCCCACTGCAGCCTATGCCGTTGCCAGCGACTCACCGCAGCCCAGCTCCAGGTCGAGCTGTTGTTCACCATCTTAGCTGTAGAGGGAGCAGCGTCACTGGCCCTCATGTGGGATCCGAACCGGGGTCCTGCTGCTCAGAGCTGGTGTCCTAAGCCAACTCCTAACCAACACGCCACTAGGCTGCCCCCCCCCCTTTTTTTTTTCCTCAGGATAAAATACCCACTTGTAACAAAGTGTCATCAAAATCTTTAGAATTATCAATAACAAAAAGGTGCCAGTTGCCAATAGAGTCTGAGATGCCTTTGATTAATCATTCCCCAAAGGCTTATATATAGAAACTGCAGTAAGAGAAGAGATGGGTTTCTTTGCTTTTCATGAAAAGTCCCAGTGAGGGAAAAAGAAAATCACCATCAGCACACCACAGTAATAACTGCTACTGGCAGATCCACAGATACATGGTAAAAATAAATGGGCAAAAGTTTGAGGAGACCAGGGTATTTGAATAGTATATCCCCCAATATAGAGAAAAATAAGAACTTTATAGTAGAGAAACCTAGCAAACACTACCTTAACCAAGTCATCAAGGTTAACGTCACCAGTAATAACATGTATTGATGTGACGCACCCTCCAATATGATACACTGAGAAGGGCACAATCACTTCTGTGATATTCCTGCCAAAAAACGTGTAACCTCAAGCTAATCATGAGAAAACATCAGCCGAGTCCAAATCAAGGGGAAGTGTACAAAAAAACTGACCAATGCTCTTTCAAAGTATCAAGGTTGTGAATGACAATGAAAGACTGGAGAACTCTCACAGATTGGAAGAGGCTAAGAGACATGACAGTTAAAAGTAATGAGATCCTGGATTGGATCCTTAACCAGAAAAGAAATATTAGTGGAAAAACTGGTGAAGTCCAAATCTGTTGTTTAGATAATCCTATGGTACCAATGTTGACTTCTTAGTTTTGGCAACTGGGCTGTGGTTTTATAACGTTAACCATTAAAGGAAGTTGCATGAAGGATATACCCAAACTCTGTACAATTTTTACACTTTTCTGTAAAATTCAAATTATTTCAAAATAAATAAAAGGAAATCCCAACAATTCCACTTGTTGGGTATACACCCCAAAGATACGAAAGCAAGGACTCAAGCAAACACTTGTACACCACTGTTCAGAGCAGCATTGTTCACAAGAGACAAAAAATAAAAACAACCCAAGTGTCCATTAACAGACAAATAAATAAAATGTGGTCTATTCATACAATGAAATACTATTCAGCCTCGAAAAGAAAGGATTCTGACACATGCTCTAACATGAACAAACCTTGGAAACACTGTGTTAAGTGAAATAAGTCAATCACAAAAGGACAAATACTATATTATTCCACTTACATTAGGTATCTGGAATAGGCAAATTTATAGAGACAGAAAGTAGAACAGAGGCTAACAGGGGCTCTGGGGAGGGGAGAATGGGGAGTTATTACTAATGAGTATGGAGTTTCTGTTTGGGGCGATAAGTCCTGGAAATGGATAGCGGTGATGGTTGGTCCACACTGTGAATGTACTTAATGCCAGTGAATTGTACATTTAAAAATGGTTAAAAGGGTCAGTTTGACATTATGTCTATTTTATTACAAAAAAAACCCACCCAAAAACGCACCATGGAAAATTACAAGTAATTATACAACGTGGGGAGAAATAGAACTTTTGAGATTTCCTTCAACTAAATTGAAAACAGAGATCATTTATTAGCCCATATTTCCTACCCCAAACGCCAAAGTTGCAGTCAGTTGGTCATACGTGAAAGCAGAGATTCCGAAATTTGGATGTTCTCACTGCTGGGCAGAGTCTTTTCTTTTTCTTCTTCTTTTTTTTTAATGATTTATTGTTATATTTTTAATTGGAAATGTTTATATCAGTACAGTGGAACTAAATTTTAAGAGATGCTGGATGTCATTACTTTGGATATCATTAGTTTATTATAAAAGAGAGACATGAAAATTATTTACATGATGAGATTTCAGAACTTCAGTGGAATGGGCAGCTTCACGTGATGCCATGTCAATAGAGATTTATTTCAGTCTACATACTTTCCAAGGATGCCACCATCTCGAAATAAGAAATAATCCTGTCCTCTATAACTACTTTGGTGCCTCCATATTCTGGAAGAAGAACTTTATCTCCAACTTTCATGCTAACTGGTTGAATCTCCCCGCCCCATCCTTTAGAGCCAGATCCAACAGCTACTACTGTTGCTTGCAACACTTTTCCTTGAGATTTTTCTGGAAGCATAATGCCTCCTTTGGTTACAGTTTCCGCAGCACTCCTTTCAACTAATACTCGGTCAAAGGGGGAGAAACTTTCTAAATGCCTGTCCTGCCATGACTCCCGCAGCAGCAGTTCGTACTGTTGCTCTAGTGCCTCGGCTGCAAGGAGAGACCTGCAGTCGAGTCTCCTACACACGTGAACTTTAGAAAAGGCTGCCTGGCATGCAGGCGCGCTCTGGGCAGGGTCTCTTGTAATCTTTCCAAAGAGTCAGCTCTTCAGGGCCAGACCGAACGTTCCCACAGCACCTGGCACACTGGTGTGCATTAAGTATCGCTGCGGAATGACCTCGCCAAAAGAAACCACTCGCCAAAAGGAAGACTTCACACTTATTATATTAGCCGCAGGGAAAAGCAAGCAAGCAAACACACAGGGAACCCTTGTCTGAGGTCATGTGAGCCACAGGCTCACCTTTCTGAGGATAATCTACGGATCTTGTTGACTTCCTTTGAACATTCCAGCAACGATAGGGAGGGTGAGAGAAAACAACTCACAAAATAATCAACACTATGACTTGGTAAGATCTCTGATCAGTAAAGAATAATCACGGAAGCTGCATCTTACATAGTATTGGGCAGCAGGTGGGGTGGGGGTGGGTGGAGGTCAGGAGGATGGATCCAGCAAGGTTTAGAAGTAGCAGAATTAAAAACATGCTTTAACAGTACTGCCGTACTGCTGCTACGTCACGGAAGGAGGGCTGCCCAGCAGTCTAATCCCCAGCAGAAGGCCCGGAATGACAAGGGCACTGGATGCCGCCAACACGGAGAGGCTTCCTCCTCGCCAGCAGCCTGGAGAGCCGCTACTTACTAACTACATCAAAATAATCAAACAAATCAATCTCATGGCTTCCCGCACACACCTGCTTCTGACCAGATACAGAAACACCCAGCTTGATCACTCACATGCTCTAAATGACTTTTGTTTATTGCCCCAAATCAAATCCAACTGCCTCCAATGGTGATTCATCACCCGCTGTGGATTTTCAAGAGGCTCTCTGAAGGCAGTTCAAATAAAGCTTCTGCCAATGGCTCAAGCAATGGCAGGCTTGCCTCTCAGGACGGTGCCAGCTGACGGTGAGCTAAAGTACCAGGCACTTCAGTCATCCATGATACACTCTATTTCTCAAGGTCCATGGCTTCTTAAGGACCCCATAGCCCACTTTTGATTCTCCATAGCCCATCATGGAGAGTAGGTTCTTTACAAATACCTGTTCACCAGTTGATTTCCTTATTCCATAACTCTAAACATTGAGAAAATCAGAGTTCAGCTAATTCTGCTGGAAATGTCTGTTTGAATTAACATAGAGTTGGGGCAGAATGAAAAAAAATCCCACTTTGTGGAGGGGCAGAAATAGGCTGAAATACGGGCTCTGTCACGACCTAGCTAAGGGACGTCATCAAGTCGTTCATCTCTCTGAGCCCCTGCACACCCTCCTTCCACCCAACTATGTAAAATGATGTTGATAACACCTACTATTTCGAAGGCCATGAGCTTAAATGAGCTCCTAACACTCAATAAATAGCTACTATTCATATTATTGAGAGTAGAATGATTTTGATAGATGCTTACCTCTCTTAGAGTTGGCTTGCCAATGAAAAAGTCCGTGTTTTTGCTGCTTTTGGGTGGGCTGAACTTGGGATTCAGAAAAGCACATCCATTTGCGATGGCCTCCAGGGGAGCTGGGCCCTCATAAGGGAACCCAAGTCCAACAAACAACTGTAAGAGAGAAAAAGCACACCACATATAAACACATCAATCAGGACTGGCGTCCCTGGCACAGGGGGCTCCTCTGTGCTCCATTCCAGTGTGGAAGACTTAGGAACCCTGGGAGGTTCCCAGGCCCTGGGGGTTGGGTGGAGAGAAGTCAGCTTACATCAGGCCAGGGGTCTTTAAAGACTCACCAAGCTGCTGAGGTCATTATGTTTTCCTTCGCTACGAAAGGAAAGAAATAAAGTGTTGGGATGGGCAGTTGAGGGGTAAGGGTCTTAAAAGAATAAAAACAACAGCAAAAACCAAGACCCAACAATAATCTTTCTGTAACTCACCAGGAGACATGATTGGAAAAACACTTGCTTAACTAAACAGAAGGTTTCTTCATTGAACCAAAGGAACAACAGGCCCTTTCAGTGATGCTGGGCAGAGGGACAGAAAGGTCACTTGGCGGTTTGATTACAGTTCAAATGGAGCTGCTTTAAAACGATGGCAGGTCAGTAAACACAGGCTTTCATAATGGAGTTTTCACCAGGGGACATCAACATCGTGGCTTTTATTTTCCCCTCAATGCGGGGAGAGGGTGCCAAGCTGCTAACCAGGCAAGGCCGCTTCCTTCTCCAGCAAGCAAACCATGTGTTTTCCCCACAGGAGACAATAGATGGCAGCAAAAACACACTCTCAAGAGTCCTGGTAGCAACTGCAGCTGAGAGCCGTGGTGACAAAGGGGACTTGCTACAGTTCAATGGCACTGATTCCTGGGTCCAGAAGTGGAACAACATCTCATAGAAATGCCTCACTGCATCTCCTCACCAAGGGGTATTTCACAATGCTGGAGGGCTGTGGGTTATTGATGGGCAGGGTCCAAGTCTGGGCTTGGTGAGATGTGAGATGTCCCTACCCACATCAAGGAGCCAGTTCTGAAATCACTCTAATCTCCAGAGGCATCAAGTGACAAAGGATAACTGGGCCTCAGGGCATCTTTTCCTTCTGCCATCACAATGAGGAACACCCACAAGGCCAGGCATTGAGAGGGAAGGATACTGCTAAACTGGATACTGGCTGCATGCTTGATGCCCCCGCCCCCACCCCCCTATCCAGGCCTGGCTTGATCAGCAGAATAAGAACATATGTACCCCCACATTTATTTCTGGTGGCTACAAAAGTACCACAACCCCAGCAATCCTGCCTTTGCAGCGGCTTTAACTGAACCATTATTTAGAATGGTCCTGCCTAGGGAGCTGTAAGTCCAGGCTGCCGGGTTCCCTGGGCAACATGGAAGATGCAGAATGTTATGTGTTGGGCACACAATTCCAGGACTGAACACTGAGCATGGCCCACATCGGACATATTGGAAAGTTATGTAGCCACCACAGGGATTTTTCTGGGGCAAGAAACTAAACTCTCTGGATTTCAGGAGAGACTCTGTATCCTACAGCTGTACGTTCTTTTAGAAAGAACAGGGAACTTAAACTTTTTGTTGTTTGGAGGAATAACATTTCATTTCCTACAAACCTTGAGACGATAGCTACGCTGTCAGAAACATCCATGGGGGTGTAGGGGGACTGAGAAGAGGCTTGGAGAGGTCAGCAGAGCGCCCCCTGCTGGCTGGGTCATTTCCCGTGGGGCAGAACCACCAGAGACATGGGGGTGAAGGGGAACATGGCGGCAGGAGCCTGCGAGCTGCAGAAAAGAAGAGGCATCGCTGCACCATTTGGAGGCCCCGTTTCTGGATCTTATTACAGGAGTGATCATCAGAGAATGGACATGTATAGGGTATGACCTGAGCATGTGCCTCAGGGGTAGGGGGAGGCCTGACAGCAGAAGAAACGGAAGAAGCAGTGCAAACAAAGTTTAAGTCCCAAGACATCCCAGCTTTGTTAAACATGAAGAACCCAGGGTCACCATCCTTGAGGCTTTTGAGCTCTGTGATCTGCCCTCCCCATCAGATTTTGGAGAGGCTGTGCTGCCTCTCCAGGGGGAAGATGACCTCTATCAGGCTGAGGGTGGGCACTGGACAGCTTAAGGCTTCCAGAACCCTTTGACTCTGAGAAGAAAGATGCTGTAAGATGAGGACAGGTCTCTATGGGTTTAACCAGAGACCTGGAGCCTGCAGTATTTCCTGACCTCTGAAAATCAGGGCCTGCCATAAAGTGCTACTTTTATCAACTCTCAATTGCAAAGAACTGTGCAAGAAACGCAGGAAGCACAATGCTGGTCTATTTGAATAGAAAATCCTGGAAAAAAATTAATTAGCTCCTTCAGACCAACCAATCTGAACCCATTAATTAAAAGGATTTGAGGCTCTTGCTTAATGGACTTAAATGTGACCTAGGTTTAATTATATCCAAATAACAATTTGCACATCTCTTCTGCCCTGCTGGCTTCGAAATATCTCCGTATACATAAAACAAACACTTTGGGCTACCTCTCCGAAGCCTGACAATTTTAGAATGAAGTTTAAGCAAATACCACACGATTTCTTGGCAATGAGTTTTCTCATCACACTAATTAGGAATGTAGGAAATACATCCCTTGAAAACACCAAAATAACAGTTTTTAACATTTTTTTGTCAATAAGCAATTTTTTCTCCCTCTCTGAGTACTCATTTCCTATGACATTATACTGGACAGATGGATTAAGGTCAAAAAGCACACTTGAGGTTTGAATGACAACAGGGTAGGGCAGAGAGAGAGTTCGCCGCCACCAAAGGGCCTTCCGTCAACTTCTGAGCGCTTCTGACTTGCCACACACCTTAATCACATTAAACTGCTTTCCCCCTAACACCGCCCCGCTCCTTTCTCTTTCATTCTGCCCACTTACAGATTTCTTTAGCATAGGGGCAAGAGTTACACTGTAAGAATTCATTCAAGTGCAGAGGCTTCCGTCTTCAGGAGGAAACTGGCATTGTTTATTTATACTTCATCTGGCTGTCAGAAGCCCAGAATCTAATGAGGATATTCCAGATGATAGAACATCTCCATGGCTGCAACTCCCAGCTCCATCCATGAGCATTTCTAAACAGAGGGATTATATGCTCTAAAATTAAATTTCTGAACTAATACTAAGCAAGAGAGAACAGATGAAGCGCCATATGTTTTATTCATGGCACAAGATTGGGACATTCCTATACATCGACAAAGAGCTTCAGTAACGCTTCTCAGATTTTTACAGTGTGTGAAAAGAGAAACGGAGTTGTTTTAAATCCGTAAGTGGAGTAGTTAACAAAAACTCCTTAAAGGTAGTTCTTAGGAAGACTCCACGGGTGTGGTTGGTTTCCAGTCACTCTTGATGTGGAACCAAGATAATCCAAAATAAGAAACATACACCCAACATACACGATTCTGACTAGTTTTAATTAACCAACCTGGTAGGGTGGCTCAGGAGGGAGTCTGAGCAGTGAATCAACTTCAGTTTATCCACCAAATTGATTTGTGGCACAAAGTGACCAGGACAATGTGGTGATTAACAGCACAGGCCCTGGAACTAGGAAGACCAGGGTTCAAATCCTAACTCCATCATATCCTCGCTCTGTAACTGTGGGAAATTGTTACATGTGTCCTTCTATAGATTATAAAAGCCTATTTATCATATATTGTCTCTAGCTAAGGGACCTTAGTCAAGGTAACACAAGCTCTCTAAACCTGTCTTTTCATGCGTAAAATGGGGGGAAACAGTGCTATATTTCATGGGGCTGCTGTGGGAATTAAATGAGATTATTTCACAGAAAGAATGTATTCCAAAGCCTGGCACTTGGTGAATGTTCATTAAACAGTAGTCCAAGTTCAAATCCAGATTCAACTTCACATAGCTGCAGCTACATGACCTTGTATTGTTTAGCTCGAATTTAGGTGTGCAGGAGCTGTGGTCATGGGTTTTTACAAAATGGTCAGCACCTGCATGTGCATTGATGCGTTCTCACTGTTTCATAACATCCCTGAACTAAAAAAGGGGGAGGGACATCCATCAGAAAAGAGAGAGGATGTGGTTTACAGTTTACAGTGCCTGCCTCATGGAAAGGCCAACTCCATGAACCACAGGCTGTTGCTAAGCCTTACTTGTTTATTCTTCACATAATGATTGGGAATTATTATATTTTTGGTAATAGGTATGCCCTTTATATCTTTAAAAAGAATCCACACAATGGTTGAGTATGGAGGAAATTTATTTTCCTGACAGGTGATGCTTTCACATAGCCTGAAGGGTCCCTCTCTGGCCACCTGTCTTCCCTCTGCCCCTGATGCTAAGGGAAGAGACAACAGCGGCCAAATTCTCTCCTGTACAGGTTTGCGTCCACAAGCTCTTAACCTACACTACCTGAAAATTCCCTCAGAAAGAGACAGAAGGGCCAAGGAGACAAAGATGACTGTCCTCATCACGTGGGTTTGAGTGCTCAACATTGGCTGCCAAACCCAAGACTGTTTCCTGGAGAACAGTTTACTGGACAGACTCCCAGACTATGCTCTGTTACCTAAGTGGCCTTTCAGAAACGTAACAAACAAACAAAAAAATCGCCAACGACATAATCAAAACTAAAATCTTCCTGCACTTCAGTCATTTTGAAGCCCCAGTACAGAATTAAATGCACTTATAATTTGCATTGTAGATGGAGATGGGAAGTAAGAGGATATTTAGATAAATTCAAAACAGTAGATGCTGACCATCTCCAGCCAGGCCAGCATGAAAAGTTCACCATGAAAAGGCAGCTCAGGTGTCACCTCCTTGAACATTCCCTGACCACCCCCACTCTCACCCAAATTCCACAGCAGGCTGACCCCTCTCTCCCAACAGTGAGGCAGCTCAACAGGCCTTGTCACCACCACTAAAATGGACTCCAATGGTATCAAGATCAGAGGACTTTTGTGATGAAGAGGTAATTCACGGAAAGGGCTTACCACAAGGAAGGGCCAGAGAAAATGGCCATTACTGTAGTGAAACCCTGTGGTCACGTGCACCCTGATACTTTGAATTTGCTAAATGTGTTAAAAGTGACTGGCTATTGGCTCCTGTCCTCCCACAGGGGCCTCATCCCATTATTTCATCGACTTCACAAGTCACATATAACATTTTATACAATTGATGGTTGACCCCGCCATAGCACCACAGTGAGGTTTCCTGTGGGTTTTGCTACTTCTTATTCTTACTACTTCTTTCTATGTACTTCTCATATAGTTATAGTTACCTGTTTATCTCCTTCACCACACCTGTATACTCATAGGAAAAACTGCCTTAGTCATCCCTGTAACGAAAGTGCCTAAAAGAAGGCCTGGAATATATTCAGTACTTAATATACATTTGTCAGATAAATGAGGGAAAGAATAAATACTAGGTTAGATTTTTCCAGCAATCAAGTGTCTCTGTGGAGAGATGTTGAGCGTTCTGTGTGTATCTGGATGTGGGGGTGTGCTTTTGTTCTTTAAGTCAGAGAGGTTACCGAATCATCTCTCTACACGCTCTTCATTCTCCATAACCATGTGGGAGGGGAAAAGGGACACAGGAATACATGTGTGCACGCAAAATGTTTTCTCCATCGAGTTGGAACTACAATAACCTTAGGTACTGGTCACTAGGATGAAAGCTGCTTGACTGCCTGAGGGTGAGTATTTCAGTGTCTGAAATAGAAATGGAAGATGATTCTTCCATCAGTAAGTTCTTGGGCTCTTACAGTGCCATGGAGTGGCAGGAAAGGGTATCAGACAGAACGTACCCTTTGTTGGGGAGATCTTGGAAGCCTAGGTACATATTCATAAGGAAAGCAAAAGATCACTCCTAGGGGGCATGGCCCCAAGATACCAGTTGGCGAACAGATATCATATCAACTGCTTCCTTCATTCTTAATTCTCAAAAAACCTTCGAGACAAGCCAGGCAATGTTCTAGGCCCTGAGAATGTACCTGCAAACAAGCAAAGCTCCTCTGCCCTCACGGAGCTGCATGAGTTGGGTTTCACTGGCGGCGGCTGTCTCAGCCCTGGATTTCTGAGAGAGGTTGTGCAACCAGGTCCAAGTTCATGGCAAGAGCCAGGGTCCACTGGGGAGCCAGACATGAGGATGGGATGGGACAGGGACAGTACATACTGCATGTCTTCTAACCTGCCCAGGCTTCTAGGTGAGTCCCTGGGGAAGCTGCTGAGCTGACACGATCGGGAGACAGGGTCATTATAAGGCGCCCAGTGTTGGAGGCGGAATGACCAAAGGTTTGGGGAGCGGAGGGAGGGATGCAGAAACGGCATGAGTAGCAGCAGCTTCTTCCCCGGTTTTCCAGAGCCAAACTTTGTTCTCAACTTCTACTGTAGAAAGGGAGGTACCCTTCCTGGCTCACTCCAAAAGCTCCCTTCATCCCACTGCGGGATGCGAAATGCCCCATTCTATAAGGAGTTTCCATGGTGAGACCAGGGGAGATGGGCGTGAAGAGGTTAAAATTAGGAAGGAGAAGAAAGAAATCACATAAACAGAGATGGGGATTTAAACCAAAAGCAAAAAACATGCCACCCCAATCCGTGCTTATCTGCTGCTTACACTGCACTCCTGGCGTTCGCTGGCCTCAATGACTTGTCTATGGTCCTCTGATAAATAATTAATTCATCCAAATTTATACACCTATTAGAAGAGTCTTTTAGAGTCAACAACTTCTCAGCTCTTCAGTCTGATTTTAGTGCCACACTGAATTCCTCCTGTCTTCTATAGGCTCCCTGCAGCTGGAGTCTGCTAATGATACCTGAGTCCCTAAAGGCATGCCAGGACAAAATTCTGCTGAGCAGAGGGTTTCCTGAGCTTGGTGCAGAGAGTCAAAGACGGCTCATAAAGAAAAATAATGAGTCAGAAGCTGATTAAGCATCAATCATGTCACTATTTCTCTAAACCTCAAGGAGCACCAGACTCACTTCCCACTCCGGTAACGAGTCTGGGTCCCATTCATTCCGCAGACATTTGCTTCTCTGCATCTCCAGTTCTCCACTTTCAACGTGCATTGTAATAAATTGCTTTTAAATTGCTCAGAGACACAGAGAACGGAGTGAGAGGAAGAAAGGGTTATTTATGCAAAGCCTGACTGGTCTTTAGTGTCATTATTTCAAAGCCCAAGAGTCATTCATTTCAGTGCCTGCTGCTGTGTTCTGGGTATAGAGGGGTCCTCGGCGATACGCTGTCTCATTTTAATCAGATGCGCCAACTGTTTTAGTCACAATTCTACTTGGAGTACTTTAGTATCTTCTAGACACATGAACAGGCAATACAAAATGGGACTAGTGACATCCTCTGTAGGCACTAGCGTTTCAAGGATAAATATATGCCCTTCACACTCAAAATTCAAGCTGCCATCCTTGGTTGTTAGGCAGTCTCTCACACAGTGGCCCGAACCTTCCAGGCCTCCTCTCTTTTCCTTCCTTGGCCATCGGGGACCTCAGCTTTGGCCTGTTTCCCATTCTCTGACAGCGTAAATGCATGGTAGATGAGTAAAGGTTCTTTTAAAATTTGCAAGGCTGAGTAAGATGTTCACAAGGCTGGGTTAATAGAAGTGTGTGAGACAGAAATGACACGCTGCTGAAAACCAGTGGCTGCCAAAGGTAATGTTAAAGGAGCTTGAGCTTTTTTTTGTGACGTGGGGAAAAGTAAAATGAGGCAAATGGCAAAACAGCATTGCCACTAAAAGTCCTGCCGGTTCTAATGATGCTAAAATGTCATCTCAGACAGAAGGTGAATGGAAAGCGAACTGTGAACACATTTCACTCCTGCTTGCCACACACGGTCCTCAGACCACAGATGACTGTGTAAGGAAATAAAATCCTAATTAAAACAACCACATCTTTGGCCAAGCAGATAAAATAATTTATCAAGCTGTTTTATTCATGGCATCACACAAATGGCTTGGGAGGCAGAAATGGTCAAATGAATTGATACATGGAGAAACTGAGGCAGAAAGGAGATGCATATTCTTTTGGTTGGTGAGTATCCATTCAATGTCCTTAAGTTTGGGTATTTATTCATAAGAGTGGTATGTCAAGGGCCTAGCAGAGCTTTAATTAGTAGTAAAAAAAAAAAAATTGTGTGTTACAGCCACGTTCAAGACGCCCTCAGTGACTGTGGGCAAGCCAAACTCTCTAGTGTGTCTCCTTGTGTTTACAATAAAGTTAACAACAACATCTGACCTGCCAACCTCTGAAGGTTGTTATGAGCATTAAACAGGACAGCATATGATACATTGAGGTATCATGCAATGATCAGAAATGGCTATTATGCCACAGAAGTTCATCTACTCAGTCCCCCACCTTGAAAATGAAAAGACACTCAGTAAGGGGCCAGAGCTGAAAGATTCACTATTGATAATAAGCGTCTTTATCTTTTAGGAACCACTGAGGCAGGGATCTGCTTGTTTTGCTCTCTCTGTATCCCTTGCACAATGCCTGGCACATAGAAGCTGCTCAGTCAATACCTATAATATCCATAAATAAGAGCTCATTAATAAACATGAGAGCTTATCTAATAAAGTGCCAGCCAACACTTCAAGGCCAAACTCTGGTCTTTTTGCAAGTCCCCTAATTTCATTTGGTATTTCCATGGCAGAATTACAGACATTGGGTGAACATCTCCACGGTGTCAAAACAACACATTCATCGTGCCACTAAAACAGTCCTCCATCAGTGGCTCCCCCAGCCTCCTGCACCACGAGGTCGGAACTCTGTCTATGTCTGTGACAATCAGATCCTCAGCCCCTTATTACATTTTATCTTCCATTATGTCCCAACACTTAGACTCGCTGGGTTGGTTCCTGGCTCTCTCTTGAATGTGTCATCTCCACCACCACCACCTGTCTGTCCCCAAAGCCAGGTGTATCTACACCCCATTCGATTTTCATCTTTTATATCTCTCATGATGCCTCCCTGTTCCTTGAGCCCCAAGGGACATTTCCCTTGTCTGAACTTCTTCAGTGTCCAGTGCAAATGAGGAGGTGCAAAGAAAAGCTAGTTGGGGGACCAATTTCTTGAACAGTGATGACAGGAGGTGTAGGAGTTAAGCACCCCACAGGCTTGCTGTGAAAGCTGCCACTCTATCAGAGGGTCTGGCCCTCGAGACAGACCCTCCCCTTTGCTGTTTGCCACTGTATCTTCAGACCTTCACTTGATGCCTGGAGCACAGTAGTTTCTCAATAAGTTTTAATCTGTAGCAACCTCCTTCCACAATTCACTAACTTTTGAGCTGCAAAGCCTGAAAACCACTGCCCAAAAATGACCTAAAGAGCTATTGCAGCATTGAAAAGACAGCATGAGAGATTCTGATCCCATTTTCAACACCAATGGACACAAGCCTGAAAACAACATCCCTGATGAATTGTTTTACAAAACTACTACAAACTTACCTTGGTTTCTCGGAGAAGGAACTGCAGGTCCCGCCCACTGAGGATCCCATGGTTTTTCACGTAACTGGGAATATTCTTCGTGCTGGAGCCATAAACGGTCGCATGCACTTCCATATATGTGTGAATAATGTCCAAGTAGATCTTCTTATTCTGTAGAGGGGACACAAGAAGAAGGCGGTTCTCATTTCCTTTCATTCTCATAACAACCTGCCTCACAGCTGGAGGCCACATACAAGTTCCTAATATGGAGACTGAAGGAATTTGGCAATTCAACTCCTAAAACATTTCTTTCAAAAGTAATCGGACTGGATTTTGAGGGTAAAAACAGTCATATTGGCCACTGTACAATTTTGCAAGAAGAAACATATTATATAGCAACATATTACTGAATACCAAGGCTAGGTCAAGGCCAATGGTTTTGAAGTAGCGTCCTTGTTTTGCTAAATTACCAGGGACCCAACATTTGGCTTTTGGCTCATCTGCCTTTATGGGGGAGGAAGTTTGGGGAAGGGAAGCCCAGAGAAGGCAGTTGGTTGGACTAGAGATGCTTATTTGGAGAAGCTAAGCTATCCCCAGGGAACACAAACATCCCCAGCTCTTGCCAATTACTCTAGTGATGATTAACTCATGCTGTCAGAACTGGGATCCCACCTAATTTGCATCATGGGGAGAAGAGAGTTTCCCACAGTACACAGCGATTGACTCAGCAGCTGGAGAGATAAGACCATCCAGGTAAACAAGAGTGGGGAAAAAAAGAGTAAATGTAAACTGATGAGCCCTGAAACATTCAAGAGTAGTTTTACTTTTTTTAACAGCAAAACAAAACCTCTTTTCTGTACTGAGTTTCGAGGCACATTTTCTAAATCAAAACCACCTGTGAAGCGGAAGCAAGCTCACTTTCCCTTCCTCTTCACGTTTCCGAGTGACTTAAGTTTCAGAAGCTGGGTTTTGTAGGCTGTTTTTTTTTCTTTTTAATTTTAAAGATTCAAGTTCTATAAAGTTTTCCAGTTATATAAAAAGTGGGACAAGGTATCCCTGTTTTAGGCCTGTTTTCAGACACCAGGCAAACGTAATAACTTAAGGCAGTTTTGTGACTTACGACAACAGGGAACATAGGGGTATGGCATCAGCAGCCAGAGTGCCGAGGCTCTGAGGAAAAAGGAGGGGACAGCAGCACTTCTCCGCCTGCCCTGGAGGGCTGGCCCTCATTCTGCCATGATGGGACCACTCCTCATGGCATCACGAGCTGCGTTCAGGGTCTCACCCAGATCTGCCATTCACTGCCCCCCGGTGAAGAATATTATACAAAGGGCGCTCAAGTTGGGGGTGGGGGCGGGGGGAGATACACGTAGCACATCATGTACCAAAAGTCTTTATGACTGGAAAAACAGTACAGGTCACATTCTTCATTTTATGTACCAGGATGCTTTGTTCAGAATCAACCAAATCCATCCCTGAACCCTAATGTGTGACTAAAATGAACACTTTGAAAGTTTAATTTCATGCCATGTTTGGTGTGGCTGGAAGATGTTAAATTCATTACTTTAGAGGTGTATGCCCTTGAATTAGTGCAGAGGTGACTAGAAACAGTTTATAAACCATGACTTCCCATTGATAGTTTGAGTGGAACTTAGGATCGCCTCCCTTGTACAAGGTAATTTGAGGGGTTCTGTGATGCAGTTCTTGTGCACCTGATAACTTCTGCCCCCGCCCCAAACCCATTCTCAGTGATTCCATCCCCATCCACACTCCCTGCCACTGCTGACTGGCCCCGGGCGGGTGTGACCCGAGGGGGACCTATTCCTAGGCTGGCGGGCAGCCCGGGACACTGTGGCCGTGCGCAGGAAGATGAGCTGAGCCGAGCAGGCCCTCTCTCGGGAGCCCGGAATCCTGTGCACAGAAGAGATTACTGCCAGATGGTTTTGGGCTGTGGAGCAAAAAGGTCGTTCAGTGTTGGAGTCTGGGCAATTACAGGCCAGATACAAGCTCTGAGGAAGCCAGCTTCCAGGTCTGGGGAGTGGAGGAGGGAAGAGACTGAGGTGGAGGAAAGGGGAAAACAGACACAGCGAGTCGGTAATAAGAGGGACCCAGAGACGGACTGAGACCTCGACATCATGCCTGCATGTATGACAGGGGGAGGGGGAGGAGAGGAAGAGGGAGAAGAAAAGGTGGAGGAGGAAAAGGGAGATGAAGAGAAGAGAGAGAGTGAGGAAAGAAGAGAGAAAACTGGGGCCCAGAGCTGCTTCTGGGTCTCGTTCCATCTACAGCTGCTCCCTATCCTAATTCTCCAGGTCTTTTTGGATCTTTCCAATAGCAGAAACTGCCCAAACTTTCCCTCACCCCACACTTTCACTTGAGCTACTGTGGGTGGGTTCCTACCACCCGAAAGGAGACATTTCCCTCATGAGACATGAAAGCCAGCTGCTAACTAGTGAAGGCCAACCAAAAGCTCCTGACCCAGGTCTGCAGTAAGTGACAGGAGAATGTGAAAGGTCAGCCTGGTTCCATCCTGAAGAAGAACACCCACTGCAGACAGACTTAGGATTAGGATTCGGAGCCCAAATGCCTAGGGAGGGAACAATGCGCCAGGATAGGATACACAGGTATTACCAGCAATCCCAGGAAAGGCTAGGGCTCCTTGAAGTATAACACAATGGCAAGTTCAGGCGAATATGAAGAAGTAATGCAGGAGCTAATCAAGTCTATGAACTTATTAACACTGAGGCTTGGCAAAGTCTGAAAGCAGAAGTTACCTTCAAGGAGGATTTATGTCATTTCATGAATGAGAAAAATCACAACAGGTTATTAGAAGGGAAAAAAATGTTTCAAACATAACTCTAATCTCTGAAGTTGACATGGCAACTAGGTGATCCCACCCTGGGTCTCTTGTTGCCATTTGTCAGAGTCCTGGAGAAACCCAGCAAGGGTGAACCATGCTATGGGTTCCAGGAAAAGGACATAGGAGACACTTCTCAAAGTTCACGCTCACTGGATGCTAAAGGGGCCCAAACAGGGATCTCCAGTTCAGGACCGTTAACTGAATTTCGGGTCCAAAAATCCAACAGCCTCCTGAACCTCTCCACCTGGGTGTGCTGCAGGCGCTTTCAACTCAACAAACAAAAAGGGACTCTTTCATACCTTCCTTTCCCAGAGGAGCATCACTGCCCCCCCCCCCCATGTCCCCATCTCAGTGACTGACACTCATCTCCCAGTCAGGTACCTGTACAAGAATCACACCTGTCATTCCACACATCAAATTAGTCACAAGGCATTGTGGATTCTACCTCTGTCACATTACATTTGTCTCCTCCTCTCGAGACCTTGACCCTCCATCACCTGGACTGTGCCAGGACTAATACAACCAGCATCTTACCACCCCTCCCCTGTGGCTCAAGAAGGTGATGCAACCCATTCATTGTTTCTACGAGTAAGCAGCAGTGTTGGGATTAATTGCTAAAGAATTTGTATGGCTCGGTGCCATTTTTTAACCATGCAAAAAAACAACATTATTCATATTATGCATATGGACAATATTTTTACATATGGACATTTGTATAATAGTTAAGTTACAAAAATACGCACTGGGATGATAGACACCAACTTATGGATAGTGATTACTGACAAGGGAAGGAGAGAGGGTTTGGGGAGGTGGATGGAGCTTTAATGATATTTATAATATATCCTTTCTGGTAAAGAAAAATATTGCAAAATATTAACATCTATATTGCTGGGTGGTGGGTATACTTGATATATTTCACAACTGAAAGAACAATTTTAAATACATGCAATCAAGAAAAACAGAAACTGGGCTGGCCGAGTGACGCGTTGGTTAAGAGTTGGCTTGGGGCACCAGCTCTGAGCAGCAGGGCCTCAGTTCGGATCCCACATGAGGGCCAGTGACGCTACACCCTCTACAGCTAAGATGGTGAGCAACAGCTCGACCTGGAGCTGGGCTGCCGTGAGTCGCCGGCAATGGCGTAGGCTGCGGTGGAGCTGCAGTGGGCTGCCATAAGCTACTGCGAGTGGCTGGCTGCCAGCGTGAGCGGCCAGCAGCCAGTGTGAGCTGCCAAGAGCCACCATGAGCAGCTGTCTAGTGGCCGACGACCGATCTGCCTCACCCAGGAAGAGCGCAATGATAATACCAACATGGGCCAGTGAAGTGACGTCCTCCACAACTAGACTGAAGAACAAAAGAAGAGCAACTTGTCTGTCCCCCTTCTCTGATTCCCCAATGCTGTTCCCCTCCCCCAATTCCCCAATAAAATCTTAAAGAAAAACGGAAACCAATTCTATGTGACTTTGAAGCTTGTACCATTGCCACTGCACTGGAAAGCTCAGTTCTTGCCATAAAGAGGTTCAAAGGATCCCCTTCTGTCTTCAACGTATATTGATTGCTATCTTTTGTGTTTAAGAAATAGAGTGATGAGGTTTCTTAAAGTTAGCATTGCCCTGCCTGCCTTTCCCAACCCATGAAAAGGCCCAAAGTGGGGAGGGGGCTATTTAGGGGTGAGGATATTTTCCGGTGTACCCCTCCTTGATTTGGACATCCAGGGACAGGGTGAAGGTGACACCAGGGAACTGGGTGTCCTGTTGATCTAAGAACTGGACCAAGATCACTCCCTAGAAAGCTTTCCCTTGCTGACTTAAGAGGTCAAGGTCAAAGAAAAGTATCTACTCCAGAAACCCTACCGCCTACAAATTTGTTAAGACACAATCAAAAAGACTTGGCACTATGACAAGGCAGGATGCCACCACCCTGTCTCAGGCCAGGAGGAAGACCTCCAAAAGTCCCAGCCAGCAACTTGCAGCCCCATAATGCTCTCAGTCTCTAGCTCCATCTAAATCCCCATTAAAAATAACCAAACTGATTAAAATTGAAATCTACCTAAACTCATTTTGGGGTGGGGGAAGGGAAGAGGCGAGGGGAAAGGAGAGAGGGTGCTGGAGCCAATGAGCGGTGTTTCGGTGTCTTCTGCTGCTTGTGAAGTAGCTGAAGGCAGGGACATTTTGCAGAACTGGCAGTAAGATTTTCAGAGCTGGAACATAGAGCTTTAGGAAAAACGGTTCACCCCAAAGCAATCACAGTGTGATTCTGCAGCAGCGGAGGGGGGGGAGGTAGAACGCAGACCCGGCAAACCGGGATCCCTTTG